ACCTGCTGAGCAAGAAGTCCTCAGATCATGTGAGTCCAAATCCACCACCAACAGCCTCTGTCTAGGCCCAATGTGCTGAGTGTTTTGTGACTCTTTCAGGTGCAGTTGAGCCATTCTACCTATGTGTTATGCCTGAAAATGGCCAGTGAGCCTAAATATGCAGTCTCTGGGCAGTGCTTGAAAAACACTTGCATGCATATGCATTTGAGGGACGACAGCACAAAACGTGGGAAGATTGGTGAAAAATGGGTGGATATGTTAGAAGTGTGGCTGATTACATATTTAGCTCCATTTACTGAAGTTTGAGCAACTGGTGGCAGTTGGTTTTGGGTTTTTCTCTGCCTTTTAAAACCAGATACAGTGAGGCTGTGACATATGGTGCATTCTGATGTAAATTAGCAAAAAAGCCTCACAAACTTCACAAACCTTCTTTAATAGCCAGAACCTCCACAAGACCACCACAGAACAGGTATTATGTGGGTAGTGAATCATTCTCAGCACCACAGTGACACTGACGTACAACAACCAAAATATCCAGCCCACAGTGTCCTGTGGGCAGCATCTTGAGACCACTGACATGAAGATGACCAACACAAACTGTGCAGCAACAGATGAGCTACGGTCTCTGACTTTACATCTACAAGGTGAACCTACAAGGTATGAGTGTCTAATAAAGTTGACAATAAGTGGACACAGTGTTTAAAAACTCCAGCAGCACTGCTGTGTCTGATCCACTTATACCAGCACAACACACACTAACACACCACCACCATGCCAGTGTTACTGCAGTGCTGTGAATGATCCACCACCCAAATAATACCTGCTCTTAATGGTCCTGTGGGGGTCCTTACCACTAAAGAACGGGGTAAAAGGGAGCTGACAGACTTTGCAGGGAAACAGATGGACTACAGTCTGAAATCGCAGAACTGCAAAGTACACCTGTATGGTAAATTGAGCTGATAAAATAGATAATGAATGTAGAAACAAGGTAGGTGTGCTTAATGAAGTGGCCGGTCGGTATACATTCAGCAACAGAATGATATTATTTAAACTCTCAGGATCAAGTGCTTGTTTCATTAAAGCAACTAGATTTTCACTCTCAGCTTGAAAATATGACCTTGTTTTTTTATTTCAAACAGGAGGAAGCAGCTCATGACTTGTGGTGTGGGGCACAACCTAACACATCTTACTGGGCAGACCTGACATTTTTAACTAGGTCTAAAATTACCCAGATTATTTCACTTTTCACACATATATTATCAAATGTTCTTCAAACTGAAACTGTTATATCTTATTAATATAACTTACTCATAATAAATACAATGCTACGTCTCCATGTTTTAACGTATTTTTACCTTTAGGTGTTTGTCTAACATGCACAATATAAAAATCAGTAAAAGAGCCAATAGAAAAATGTTGTTTTTTTGTTTTTTTTTAATTTATAAGTGAATATCTATTCCAAATCTACCCTTAATTAAATTTATGTGTGCTGAACCTGAATATGTTTCTTTTATGGACCATTATTCACTTTAATAGCCTTGAAATTATAAACCTCTACCAAGTTATTTGAAATATAATCCAATTGTTTGGTCTAAAACATCTTAGAAAACATTTCTTAGGCTATAGTGGCTACAAAAGTGCAGTTGAACTCAAACTGAAGATAAGCTATATGAGTGCTCCAAAAATCAGTGAAAGAAAATCGTGGCATCTGGCAGCTCTCTGTGTGCACATGGCAAAGTTCAAAACAACCCAAAATGTCGATGTGTAAGAAGAAGGGGGTGCAAAATAATTCTGTGATGTGGCCGTAGCATGCAGCTTTATTATTTCACTGTGCTTTTTAAACCCCGTGCCTCACAAGCATGCAGTCAGTAGGCGGGGATGAGCACAGTTTGCATGGTTAGCTACAGTCTTAGTAAGTAGGATGATAATTTCTGGTGCATTGTGAATGCATATTGGGATCGCATCAAGGCACATTCTGTGCTGCACCTGCAAATTTGTACACTTTGCCCCCTATATACACTAAGCAAAGGTATACTACTACCAAATAGAAAAAAATAGATAACTGGATAGTTATCTGAAGGTCATGTGTTATGAACAAGTCTTTCATGTTAATCCAAAAGCTACTGCTCTAATTTTCTAAGCCCTAATTAATAGCTACTCTGGTTGCCCAAACCCAAAATTCAACTGTCCCAAGATGTTGTGCAGGTGGCTTTTTTGTATGCTTAGGCTAAGTGAGGTGTAGATGTGCTAATAAATCAAGGAATCTGTCATATTTGGCATAATTTGTAAATAGTTTTATGTGTTAACATCAGTAGAGAACATCATTGAAGGTGGAATGGAGAATTAGTTGCCCTCTATGCACCAGATCAGTATGCAATTGTTTAGCCTTATTATTGAGCTTCATAACTGCCAACATTCTCATGAACTAAACCTGTCTCCTCTGTGTTTCTTCCTCGTGCTCTTAAGGAGTTTGCCTGATAACATTAAGAGTCTGAACATCTAATTCTAGGACAATTTTTTACTGTAAAATATACTTTATTAACAAAGTTAACTGAATCAAACCTAATATGGCACAAATCCAAAATCAATAACCAGCTTCAAAATGCTTTTAAGGACGTTTTCTACTGTAGTCTGCTGTGCTCTCCTGCACAGTATCATGTTTTCTTGCTCAGAGGTGCTGCATCACACATAACACATTTTTAATGGTTTTTGCAATGTTTTTCATACTTTTCATGGATGTAACAATGTTTTGAAACAATGACTTTCTTCTTTATATTCCTGCAGTATCCTCTTGGATATTACCCGGAGGAGCTCTTCATCGAGGCCGTGCCCCTTCAGAAAATTGAACAGTTCAGGAAAGATCTGAAAGCTCTCGAGGGTGAAATAGAAGCAAGAAACAAGAATCTTGAGCTTCCGTATGATTACCTAAATCCGATGAATGTGGATAATAGTGTAGACGTGTAAGAAAGTGGAGAATCAGTCTGATGGCAATGCATAATCAATCTGCTGAAAAGATTCTGATCGCACTCCAAACAGATTTTCATGTGGCAGTTTCTGCTTCAGTCTTCTGCCCCGTACTCTGTGCAGAATTATTCTTAAACACTGCAACTAATTAATAAAGTCTAGTGAACATTTAGCATTTAGACATGAGGTAATGTATTGTTAGCCAACTTTGGGGTGGTACATATATTCTATCTTGTTGCTACTTTTTTCATTAGCAGCTTTAATGGGTTTAAGTGGGTTTTCAATTAAACGTTCATGATAGGAATCTGAATCTAACGTTCTTATGATACATACTTTGTGAGCATGAACCTCTGACTGCAACAATAAAGTTACATGAATGCATGCAATACAGCCCAAATGCCAGCTTGCTGTAAAATGAAGCTTATGGTGGGGAAGCCTGAACTAATGTTTTTAACTCATCACTTTAATTTTGAATGAATGATGTGAAAGAGACCAACAGGTAAGTGAAATTCCATCAGCGGAATATGAAGTTAGGCACTAAACTGGATATTATAGAGTCATTTCAGTGTAAGTCCTTTTGGATGTTGGTGTTGTCTAATAAGATCTGATTCAGAGTAGCACTATACCTAACCAACAATCAATATGACGTGCTCTCACAGGATGATATTTACTGCCCCCTACTGTTTAATTTCACCTGACCGTCCTAAGCTGCCCTATAGAGCCTTACAGAGCTGGATCAAATGTGTTGGATCAGGCCAGTGGCACAGGTTTCATTTCAGCTTTTGGGGGGGACATACTGCTCATACCACCCAACTCAAGATGGCAGTTTCTTACATTATCACAGGCACTCTGCTCACTTAACTTAGTTTTTTAACATCCTTGTTATTCCTGAACATTAGTAAAGTGAACAAATGATTGTACAATTACACATAGATAAAGACCATAATTGTTGAAAAAGATATCATTTTAAATAATAATATTAAAGAACACATACTGGGGTCTTATTTATTTAATAAAATCCAAAAGCAGTGCTTCTAAATGATGTATTCACTGTGCATTAGGCTCTTTTATTATGGCCTGTATTAGCACATGATTGATAATTATTGTGCATAAACTGATCACTTAAATTCACATCTTATTAGTGTACGATTGGCAACATCTGATTCTTATGCTGGCGGTTCTAGGTAGCATCAAGTGACTTGAGGAAATAATAGTTAAATGAGTCACTAATACCTCAAGATGTGCTATAAATTCTGAAGTGTGGTTTTGGTCAACACAATTTATAGGCTATAAACACCTATTAATTATATTATTAAATATTGTTTTATGTTTTTTTGCTAGCCAAGTACAAGCAAGCTCAGAATATTTAAGCTAGTTTCAACACATTTTAACAACCAAACATGGATAATTGAACTAAATAAACTGAGTTGTTTAAAAGAGATTTTTTTTTTAATTTTAAAAAAGATTTTTTTAGATCAAACTATCATGAATAAGTGCTGGATTTTTGATGCAAACTGTTTTTTTTTTGAAAACTTGAATAATCTCAATTAAAATGTCAGTTATTGTAATAACATAAATGTAGGTGATCATGCTCAATACTGCATATTTACATTAACAAAGTCTTAAGTGTTTATTGCTCATTTTTCCAACTAATAATGCAAATATTTATGATCTTCATATTAAAGGACTATTATTTGCTAGTACAGGTAGTAATGAAGAAAGCTTAATGCATAGTGAATAAACCATTTACATAAGTCTAATTAGATCTTAATAAACTTCTAATATGTATACTTTATGTATTAACCCCTGATATACTTGTTTGCCAAAGTTAGCAACCAAAAGCACATCATTAAAAAGCTCCAGTCACAAGATTGCAGGAAATAATTGCAAGTTTAACTTAGATCTTCAGAAGCACCCCTGTCTTAACTGCTAGCAAGTCACATGTCATTTTCATTGATCTGTATTAATCTTAACGCACGCTGCATGCAATCATCTATTAACAAAAACCAGTATGCACTGCTCATTCATACAAGGTGTACATCTAATGTTCATGACTTTTATTGGCATAAATCTTTGAATACTGACATCATTTTTGTCTATTAAAACAAGAGTGAGGACCACTGAGGACCACAGGATTTCAGGTCAAAAAGATCTGACTCTACTGTAAGGTTTAAAGGGTGAGCATTAGTATCATATGCCAATATAGGATGGCTGATACAGCCACTTAGAAACTGTAATGCAAAACAATTTTACTGGTTTGTAATTTACAATATACATAATGTCAAGAAAACATGAAGTCGGGTCATGTAAACATTGCCCTGCATCACTTAAACATGAAGAATTCACATACTGAAATTATGCACCAGCAAAGCATATATGGGTTGTTGAAATATATATATATATATATAGCTATATACACACGGATACATTTACAATAGTACAATGGAAATAGGTTGTCTCTCAGGTAGCGCTTAAGTGCTCTGATGAAGCACATAATGCTCTCATTGGCTAGTTTAAGGCTTTAAAAAGGCAGTCTTAAGAGCATATATGTGACCACAGCACAGCTCATTTCCATTCTTCTGCATTTGTTTGGGGGTTGAGGTGAACTGGAAATTGAAGAGAGTGACGTAGAAAAATCGACACATTGTCCTTGTTCAGAACTTGTTTTTTCCAATTTAGTTTTGCTATATTCACAATTTGATCTGGGTACTGTAGGCATGGAGCACTACTGGAGCATGCACTGGCAGCCTGGGCAGGAGGCTGGAGGAAACGCACCAGAGCCTCAAGGGAACTGGCAGGGAAAGCATGTCCCTCCCTGTGGGCGGCTGCAGCTACGTGTGAAGAGTCTGTGCAGATGTTGCTGTTAGAGCCTCCTCAGGTTGTGCTCTTCCTGACACGCCCCTCTCCTCAGGCTGATGTCGTCCAGTGCCATCTCACCGGTACGGCCTCTCCTGCGCTCACCCTTCATTATCACCTGTAAAAGTGTGCACATCTGTCAGTTCTAAGCAGCAAGCATCAACATGGTCACATCCCCTACAGAGAACATACTAAAGTATACCATTTTTGCATATTTTAGTACACAATTTCTGTTCATTTGCCCAGATTAAGATATAAACCTTTTGTACCGTCCACTTTGTATGTGATCAAGGCTATCTTAGGTACTTTAGGGAAATTACACAGATATTGTTTTCCATACTAACTGGCGAAATCTCTTTACAAATTATGTTACCTGGTAAAACTCTGGCAAAACCAGTCCAGCTCAAATAGGGCTATAGAAGGTCATGTGCTCCAAAACTACTGCTCAGCAACTTAATACTACGGGCATGGCAGATCTGTGTTAGATTAAAATCACACATCTCATCATTATTCACTTAAACTATAGCACTTCCCCAGAGGTACTAATCCAGCTTAAATAGGGCTATAGGCTTTATTAGTTATTTTTTAAATGTGGCACTGGTCCTATTTTGTCTGCTCCAACTTATCAGTGTATCGTGACATAGCCTATAACATGAACATTTCTTGAAGTATCATGATATTTACTGTTGTATTGTCCACCTTTGCAGAAAAGCCTCTTCTTGCATTCTCTACACAATAATTTCTCACTTGCAGCTCATTAAAGACAAATTGGACAAATTCTGTGGAAAGTGCAGATTCTAATTATTCCAGCTGTGTTTGTGTTTGTAAGTAGAGGAGATTTTTATTCTGATTTGGATTTGATGAAAAGTAATGTTGTGTGTAGACTCCTTTTTTGCAAAAATTCCTACATTTTTTACCTTTTCTGACAACAAAATTATAAAAATGTCAGACATGCAGCCTCAAAGAGATTGTAGACTGAATGTAAATGTCATTCATTATGTAAGTAACTGTAATTAATTACAGGATTCCTCAGTTTCATATAAATAATTGTGTTGTAAATCAGATGTACATTAAAATGACAGTAATAACTACACTTATCAAGATTGACAGCTGAGCAGTAAATTCATTTTTCAGACAGGTTAATACAGTTGTTGCTGTCCTCTTGTTGGCCCTGTTTCTGTCCTGTTCTGCTCCAGGATCTGATTTTACAGCCCCTGATTATTTTACTCCTGTCAGGTCGACTCATGACACATCAGGCACTGGCACGCAACACAAATGTGAAATGGCTTTGGGCTGTTCAGAGCTTGTTTGCTAACCTCTGAGTTTTTTCAAAAAGAATCTCAATTCAATAAGCAAACTGTGAAATTAAATTGTTTCTTTATGTCTCGGAAGATCTAAAAAATTCATTTGATGTCGAGTCTCATGGCAACGTGTGAAGAAATGTGTCACTTCACATCAGTGAGTATGACACATAGCAAAGACTAAGGGCTTCATTATGTGGTTATGATCTCGAAGTCATTCTGATGGTTTCATTTTCTACTGCATGGTTTTGACTTTGATAACAGGATCACCAGCCCTCCTCCTGATCTCCTTTTCCTGTAGAGTTTATTTCTAACCACGGCTGCACGATATGGACATAAAATGCGATGTTCGATGTTGAATATCACGATGATGATATGAGAAGTAATAAATTATTAAAACAACGTGCCTCTGACTGGAAGTGCTGCAAGCACTGACTATTTTACTGTGTAAACAGAAATTTAACATAGAAATCCAACATCTAAACTATACAAAACTACAAAATCGCCATTCACTGTTGTGGAAAATAAAAGAAATATAACACTAAAGCTGCATTTACACAAAAATATCATTCTGTACCTCATATAGTTGTACGTGACAGATGGCAGCAGAAGAGAGCTGTAGCAGTGTATACTGTTCATTTAAAGTGGAGAAAGTCCTAAGGATGTACTGTATCGGTGGTCTCCTACCCTGGACTTGAAGATCTACCGTCCTACAGAGTCCAGCTCCAACTGCAATCTGCTCCTGCTAATTAACTTACTAATAAATCCATGATTGGCTGGATCAGAAGCGTTGGTTAAGGAGGGGCAGCAACTTGGATGCGGGTCTAAACTCTTCGGGAAAGCAGACCTGCAAGAGGAGGGTTGATGACCACTGTTCTGAACTAGTTAATATTTTACTGGACAGTACTGGGTGTGCCTGAACTTGAAGAATGAAATGTTTCACATCCATGGCTCCTAAAAAAATCATCTGATTGATTCCAACGCCAGTCAATGGCAAAAGCTGGGAAATTTTAACAATTGACAGAAGTTATGGGCAGTGGACAGTTGCATGGTGTAAACTGATATTAATTATTTCTTACTTGAAGCTCACTGAAACAAGAAGAGAGATTCTGTGGACTCTAAACTCTCAGTCAATATCACATCTGTGCTTGTAAGTCGAAGAGGATTATCTGACTTTGCTGAAAAGCTTTCTCTGTGCATACAAGCTTGTTTTGTGTGCTTTTTGTCACTTCTGACTGTTGAAACAAACAGAACAAATCAGAAGTGCAGATTTGAACTTTTAACAGAATGTAAAATGAACGTAAATGTAATTTCTTGTGTAATTATGTAATTAATCATGTAAATATGTAATTACATTAATAGCAAAATGATAGTAATGACTCAATAGTAACCTCCAAGGGTTAAAGACAGACTGATTATTGATGTAAATGCTAGAATGCCACCTGCCTGTGATTCACTATGTCTTAGTATGAGGTCTTCAGTGAGATTCTTCTGAAAGCCAACCTCACACCAGCACATCAGAGCAAAACAGGTGCATACCTTCCAGGCTTACAAGTGAAGAGTTTTGTTCCAAAACACATTACAGACCACTTTCAAGAATTTTCTTCCTTTTTTCTTTGCTGGGAGTGGACATTAAACTATAAAGAACTATTAATGCTATAATATGATTAATATCACATTTATTAGATTGTTATCCATTATACATCAGTTATTCTTTTCAAAAACTTGTTATATCCAAAATTGTTATAAATAAATATCTACCATATTGCAATGAAACTCTTCAAATCTTAACTGAAATCTCAAAGCTCAGAAATGTGTCTTAGAATTGTTTCTATTGGTCAATCAATGAACAGCTGCAGTGGCTAGACAGCTTTAAGCACACAAGCTGATATATAACTGCCATTGATTGTTAGTCACTGGTCATATTTTTAAACATTCCTTCAGTACTGCTCTGCTAAGTCTCTGAAGCTAATTAAGCGTGTACTCACACTTTCCAGTCCGTTGCCCCACAGTGTGATCTGTGTGGATCTCCAGCCGCTCCCACCTGTTCGACCCCACACGGCCGGGCTGTGCTGACGGCCCTTTTGCACAAACACCTGCAGCATGCCCACGTGGTGACCCGCCATCTTATGTCGAAAAGCCAGACACAGGTTGCCTTCGTTCCAGGGCATGGTCAGGGGAGAACCAGCTGGGCTCCACGTCCACTCCTCTTACCCAGCACCTCGGAGATGGTCAGATACTTGCCCCCTGCGCCACAGCCAACAAATCTTCATTCAGTTACAGTGTACAGTGCAATTATATTCTCTTTCAAAGGGCTCACAGTTAAAGGGCTCATTTCCTACATTTTACTAGCATTTTATTTATTTTTTTTTTTCCAAGGTCCACTTATGACATTTGAGTGGTTGTATTTCATTTTTACATGACCTCTCTTTATCCCTTCAGATTAAACAGGCTGTTACTGTTACTGTGGCTTTGAGACTGATATATATGTAAATGAGCTCTGTTCTGACTGACTGCGGCTCATTACAAAAAGCTCTTAGACCTGAGACACTCCTTATAACTTTAACATGAGTGGGTGGGGCAAAACTGCTTTTGGCAGAATAGGTGGATATGTGTAAATGTTTTGGTCTTTGTGAGATCACATAAACATTTCATTCAAAATGAGCTGTTTTTGCAGCTTAGTTCACACATGTGGGCTGTATGAGCATAGATGTCAACACACAGTTTACCAGTATAAAATACGATTTTGATGCTGGAGGTTTATGGCCATATAAAGCTGTAATTCAGGAAATGTAGTCTCATATAAGTTCTGCATAAACTGGCCAATAATTCTGTTGATTTTTTTCACTTCTTGGGTTTTTCGACTTCTTTTTGACTAAAAAATAATCTGACCAGACTTGGTGGTGGAGTATGAGCACAGATATACTCATTTAACCCTTGTGTGGTGTTGATGTTTTTGTTGCTCAGTGTTCTGGTGGACCCACTACATTATTGTTTTTTAAATCAAAACAGCCATAACAACCCATGTAAAAATACCACAAGTGGCCAGCATAGGGTTCTACAGCGTAGCAGCTGTAGCCAGTCAGCAGCCTGTCCATGTTGTCCATCCTCACACACACGCACACATATATACAAACACATACACACACAGACACACACACACACACTAGCAGCAGGCCATGTAGGAGGAGAACAGAGTGAAGTGACACAGCACCTCCACACTTTTATTCCCCGCAGGTTCACCCAACACCACATGTGTAATATAAATGTGTAGGGGGTGACCTGAACACCACACAAGGGTTAAGTGAAGTTGCAGCGTCTGGAGTGTAAAATGCATAAGCAAGGATACATGTGCTCCCCAATCTCATCTTGCAGATGATGCTACATCATCAGAGACTTTTGTTCTGTCAGTTCATCACAGAACAGCCTGACTCTCTCTCTCTCTCTCTCTCTCTCTCTCTCTCTCTCTCTCTCTCTCTCTCTTTAGCAGCAGGATTAATTAGGCAACCGTCAAAAAAATGACTGAGGGGGCACGACCCCCCTTATCCAATAAACCGTGGGCACTAGGCTTCTCTGTTTGTAGTAACTATCCACACACAGTTGTTGATTTTCTTCAGCATTCCCATCACAACACCACAGAATCAGAAATATAATAGCTAACCAAATATTAAAATAAAAATGTGTACTTTAATGAACAGTGGCGTACCAAACCCAGCCACACACGGAAACCAAATAAAACTGTACACTGCACTTTACCCAGCACAAACCTAAAAGTTATAAACTCACCAACAGAAAGAACACAGTGCTGTTGATGCATATCGCCACTCTTACACAGCAGTCCTGGGACCCCCCCCACCCCAGTTTTGGGATAACAAGCCTGTAGTTCCCTGCTTAATTACTGTGAAGCCCAGACAAAAACAAATCTTTGTCCTCAACTCAGAAGAGCTGCAGCCATCTCGATGTAGCTTTGAATCTCCTAAGCAGTTTTTGCTTAGTTTGTGCTTACTCCATATGTTAATCTAAGACTCAGTGCTGCCTGTCTGTTGGACTTGAATGAAATCTGTCCAAAGTACTCCATGTTTTTTGTCCAGATCGGACAATTTGTTCAGCGAATCTGTTTAGCGATAGTAAACTCGGCCTCTGCTAACTCTGAGGAAGTTAATGCTATCTGTGTGGACAGATTAAGCTGAAGTTAAATTAACTCTCTTGAATGGCTATTTTCAGTGTCTGGACTGTTACAGTTTGCAGTGATGTGGGGCTCTCGGTTGGTGAAACATTGTAGAAGCATGACATTAAAAATCGAGTTAAGATGACAAGCTTTGTTTGGTCAACAGATGATAATGTGCTAAACATTTGAAAATAGCCATATCTAATGGGCGTCTGAACAGGGCGTCTGAACTGAGATGTCTGAACAGCTGGCTCAGCTAGAGAATCCATGTAATTAAAGTGAATGCAGTTTGAAAAGACCACCCTGCAGAACAAATGAATAAAAATAAATGTCTAAGATGCAGGACAAATAACACAAAACTGGGGAGGTTTTGCCCCCTCATGTCCACTCATAGCACTGGGCCTGTCTCCCACTGGCCGCCTTTAATTGTGTTTGCATGCATATTTGCATGATTTTCTTCAGCATTCCCATCACAACACCACTTTTTTCCCTCTTTTATTTCAGTAAAAATTAGGAAATTTTACATGATATGGACCCTTTACAATACATTTTGTCAGGAAACTGAAAATTGGAAACACCCAAAAATGCTAATAACAAATATTAGTAGCCACTAATCACTGTTTGGAAGTTTACAAACATTTCATTCATTTTTATCTCCATTAAGATTTTAGTAAAAGTAAAAAAAAATAATAATACTAGTAATAATTTTAAAAATTCCCCTTAACACAAATGTAATTGTCATTCTCAGCTTTGACTAAGTTCTCTTTGAATACTCATTCAACGCGTTCGCAATCATCAATTTTATCCACTCGGGGGGTCTGAGACATTGCATGCAATTACACATTTCTACCAGTGAAATCTCCAAATCCCCAAAAACTTACATAGCGTAGTTTTAAGTACTCTCAAATAGACTTTCTTATGTGGTTTCTGACCCTGTATGACATACTATTATAAATAAAAATGGACACATTTACAGACAAAATTCAGACTTTGAGACAGATGTTACTAGAGGTTTAGCTATGTCACTTACTTTAGTCCATGTTTATAGATTACTATATAGATTACATGTCATACAGTGTCAGAAACCACAAAAGGAAGTCAATTTGAGCTTACTTAATGCTGTACCATGTAAGTTTTGAGGATTTGGAGACCTCTCTGGTGGAAATGTGGAATTGCATGCAACGTGCATTGCAAGGACGTTTTGTAACACTGGTTGCACTTTGGACTCTTTCCAGGTGAATCTGATGATTGCAAGAGTTTTCAAAGAGAACTCAGTCAAAACTTGTGTAAGCGAATCTTCATCACTCTAATGTTGATTTTGCCTTCGAGACCCAAACATAAAGCCGGACCTTCTATTTGAGGCTGTGCATGTTAATTTGTAAACACGTATGATGTGGTCCGAAAAACTCCAAATCTGCAAAATCCGACCGATGCCTCTGACTTTTAAATTGTTACTTCAGGATTTACAGGGTGACTCACAGCACTGACTCAGTAATGCTACTTCATGTAGTTATGTTATAACTGACGTTTGGGGAGAGGGACATGCCTGAAATCCTTTCATCTACCAATCTAACGCCCTATAAATTCACATCCTCACCTTCCTTGCCCGTGACGAAGTGTTCGCAGTCCCCACTGCCACCCCATTTCCTCACAGTTCCTCAGTCTTACATCAGTCCTACTACCGCTATGAGGGGATCTGGCCTTCTAGCTATAGGCAGAAGGTGCCCAGAACTCCAGCCCAAGTTCTCAGACTTCTTCTCCCCTCCCACTATCAGTCTTCTCTCATACTATCACCATGCTGAAGCCATGGTCTGAAGTCACAAATTTCAGTTTTAACAAAAAAAACCTTAGCAGTCTTAATAACACAATTTGAGGTAAGTATGTGACGATTTAGGCCTGCAGTTTGCACTACGCAAAACTGGTGGTTATAAGTTTCTCTGGCCTTGTAGCTCCAGTGCAAAACTAAAAAAGCAAACTTCAAACACAAAACATGCCTTCTGCTTTATTGGGTACAAGGATAAGACTGTATGAAATTGACTTTTTGCCAAACTACAGCATTAATAGACTTTTAAAATGTAGAACCAACTTAGTGAAGTGTTTACCTGAAGGGTCTGGTACCGTCTCCCAGTGCACGTCACCCTCTCTGACCTGGATCCAGCCACAGAGACCATGATCAAACGAGCAGCTCAGATATCCAGTGTCTGTGGAGCAAAGCATTACCAAACTGTTCAAAAATGCTGGCATAAGTAAAAAAAAAAGTCCTGTCTCTGAATACTAATGCAGCTAAACATGAGTTTTAAACAGGGATAAGGCCGGCATCCATCACTTTGTCATAGAAATGGATATTCATGAGCATTTATGAGCCAACGAAAGCTCTTGCCATGCCAGACTGCTGATCCCTTGTTAGTGCTGAGTGCCATGATTAAATCATTAGACAATTTGTGTACTTCTGACCTCATTTTTTAACTGTATACACGTGACACCGCGGATAACGATGTGGGCTGAGTGCCCAGACACAGATTAAGCCTTGTTCTAGACTAAAAAAGGAATCTCAGTCGAAAACAAGTGTACTTTCCAGGACTAGGCTTAATCTTATGACCAGAAACCAGGTCAGACAGAATGTATAGCAGATATTTCAACGGTGAGCCTAGAAGTAGTTATTTACTCAGACAGGATGTTATATGCCATGTTAGGTAAAGTCAGAGACCACTTTTCATTTATTTAATTTCTAGACAAAATGGACATTAGTGCAAGTTCATTTTTCAGGAGATATTTCTGAGGAGATTAGACGTAAGACAATCTGCTTGCATAAGGAAGGAGATAATCAGAGGAAAATAAGTGAAAAGTTTCCAAAACTGGAGTTCAAAAAATTACCGGGTTGACCACCAACATTGCATCCAGATAAACGCACTTTCATCTTTGAGAAAGAGGAGAAAATCAAGCTGCTTCAGTCATAAAAAGATCCACAGGTGTTTCTGTCGATCCTTCCACTGTGAGAAGACAACTCAGCACTATGAGTCTGAAAGGATGTGTAGCTGTCAAGAAGATGTTACTTAGAAAAGGAAGAAAACTTACAAATTTGACATGTTTGGGTTTATTTGGATCATGAGAAGCAGAAAATGCAACCAACTTCTATTGAACTTTGAAGTAGTGGAAAAACATCCCTGCAGATTTCTTTGAAAAACTTTAAAAAAAAACTTATAAAAACACACTAAATACTGAAAAAATGATATTTTAGTTGTTCAGCCTTCTCTGTAATTTTCTGTATGTTTTCTGTTTCTTTCTTTCCCTGACACTGAAAAATGAATAATCTGTACATAGTGGCAGTTTTGACTGGAAATTACCTAAATGAAGGGTGCTCTCTGACTTTTACACAGTATTGTATCATTATGTATATAATAAAACCTTGTATCTCAGAAATAGTAACTTTACAAGAGATGTTTGACGTAAGAGTAACTTTCGGTCCAATCCCATTTCACCCCTTGCCCCTACTACTTAGCCCTTAGCCCTCCGTTTGTGCATTCACATCTAGGCATAGGGTGTCCCGATTTTTGTTGAGATAGAGGGGTAGGGTGAAGTGTTAGGGCTACATGGCCCTCCAAACTGAGGTCTTTCAGAGACACACTCCAATAGAGTGTTATGAGGAAAAAAAGAAAAACCAGCAAGATGGCTGCTTGAGCGACCAAAGAAACCCACAAATGTGAGTATTTTTTCCACTAAAAAAAAAAATATGAGAACCACTGTATTATCTTGGTTTAATGCCGCTTCAATGTATTATGGTCCTTTTCTTCATAACAAGCATAAAAAATCACTAGTAGTATGCAGATGTCTCAGTAGTTAGCTAGCTAAATTTCCCATTCCATCTCAAATTGTCCAGCAGTACTGATGCCTGAAGCGCCAGAATGTAACTGCTGCTCCACTTAAGGTGGAACGGGAAAATTCAAATCAGAAACTGGCGAAAAAAAAAACTGACTTCAGCTTCATATCACCAAAGTATTAGGGGTGGGCGATAATAAATAATTATCGCATCTCCCCCTCTTTGAAAGCATACGATGCCCTAAATTGAACTTAAGCTCAGGTTACTGAACTTAACCCTCCTCTGCTATCACTGCAGACTGGCAGGGTCGCCTACAGAGCACCGCTCATTGCCTGTTAATGAAGTAATGTTCTTCTTTATTTGAGGGTCCCATTTCATAGAGGAAGATTTCAATCATTACCCTTTGTGAATCAGTTACAAGGAGCAAGGTGACACTCGAAAACAAGGGGTAGGGGTAAAAATAAGAAATGGGTTTGGACCTTAATGTCAGTTAATAAATCAAGATTTTATTCAAGGTAATTTTGGACCATATTGGTTGGACCATTACCCATTTAGTGTTTACATGAAGGGCTTGCTGCAATTTCCAAACAGTACAATTAATAATAAAAAGAAGAACAATGGAACGGTATGTAAGGTATATTAAAGGGACAACATGTGTAAATCGTGATATGGAGTAATATAGAATGAGTGGTCAACTCTTGTAGAGCAAGTTCACACTTTGTCTGCACTGATGCATATATTGACATTCAGTCTAGTGGAGATGTTGACAGTACTGACAGTAGAGGATGGAATACGGAGCCTAAGTGCACTGCAGAGACAAGAGCCCACTTACCTGGGTCATCTTTTACTTCTTCTTCTGTGTTGCCCAGTTCAATATCATAATCGATATCAAGAACATTGTTCTGCCCATGATTCCGTGGTACTATAAGGAAAAAAAGACAACCCAGGATTTACTTGATTTTAGAAGCAGCACAATTCTGTTGACTGAGAGTGAAAGATTTATAGTATAAACACACACACACACACACACACACACACATTTCACTGAAAAAGCATTGAATTGATGTGATTCAAATACTGAAAGACAGTTTTGTCTTTGACAATAACTCTGTTGATGTATTTTATTTTACTAATGTGGAAATGATGTACATATATTAATCAGTATTACCTTTTTCAGTGGAGACTCATTTGCTCATAAACACACAGCTACTCCCCTAATAGTCTGAAAAATTCACATTCAACTCCAAAACCTCAGCCAAGAGAATCCTTCTATTTGGCCAGCACTCTTGTTGGAGGACAGGATAGTCATTTCAAATAAATCTGCTGTTGACACTGTTGACTGCGCTATTATTGCTTCTTTTATTGCTAATTGGATGGTATTTCTAAACCAAAAGCTGAGCGGGAAGCCTTAAGCGGGTTTTATGAAGAGAAACGGTGCCCTGGCAAGTGTTCACTGCTTATCGCACTGTGGGAGAAATATGTTTGAGAGGCTTCCAAGTCTGGAGTAATGGCAGGACAACTGGGCGAATGCTGGATGATGAAGTAAAATGTCACCCCGGCCTTCGTGAACAATGAATTCTGAGAAAAAAGGAGCCCGCCTAATAATCCAACCATACAGAGTGTGCTCAAAACCAATCAGCAAAACCCCCATACCCAAGTGAAATGTGCTTTATTAATACACAGTGGGTCTGGGGCTTGAATGAAGCAGTTTCACACTATCAGGGCAGACGATGGTTCAAACTAATGGTGGGTAAAGAGCCAATATGTATATGTTATTGCTATCATAATATACTTTTCTCAGTATATCATTGTATTGTCAGAATGCTAAACTGCATGTATCACAAAAAAGACAGACTAGAGATGGTACGTGATCAGGTATCATTATTGGGTCAATATCAGCAGAAAATGCTGGATATTAGCAGGAGAAAATGCATCTTGTAACAAATCACATTGTGGGCTGTGATGTTTTTGGCTGTGTATTTCTTCCTGTAGGGTAATGGAGTGTTTGAGTAGTTTAATCAAGATAGCTGAGAGGTTTCTAAAAAAGGAATATCAGATGCTATCAGCCGATACTCCAGGTATTAATTTTAGAAATTGGAAAAGGAAAAGTGATATAATGCCATCCTAATTTAGACCAATTAGAGAGCATGTAAACAAAAATAAAAACAGTGTATAGCAGCTGCATAAAACCAGCCCATTATACAGGATATGGCAAATCTAGCCTAATACAGTTTCCTTATAAAACACCAATAATTCTGTTGTGCTCAGATTAGATTTCACTTTTTGTGATTTATTAGATCTTTCTGGCTTAAAATGCGATCTGATCAGACTGCGGGTGGTGGTGAGGGAGTGTAGGCATACTGATTTATGTGATTTTTTTACTGTGCACAGAAGATATACAAGGCTGGAATTTTCCCCCCAGCCAATGGACTCTGGGCTGGAGAAAGTGTCCAAGTCAAGCTAATCTGCCTGTATCATAACAGAGAAAAAAGTAAACAAAAGTAAAATGGTAACGATTAGGGGTGCGGGAAAAAATCGATTCTTAGATGCATCGCGATGCGGACGTGAACGATTCTGAATCGATTCACAAATGTCAAAAATCGATTTTCTAAATATTTAATTTATAACGTAATGTTGGCGGAACGCAAAAGGCGGAACTTGGAAGTGCCGAAGTGCAGCGCCCGGACAGTCTGTGACGGCACATAACAAAAACACTGCTGGATGAGCGAGAAATCCGACCGGCTCCCTCTGCATTAAAGCCGGGTTAGATCAGGAGTCACAACACAAATGTTCAGAAGAGCCATTTTGTCCTTTCAACAAAAATCAAACCACCTTGGGAGCCGCAACATTTAATGTCCAGTATGGCTCAGTGTGTGATAATGTCCTAGTATAGACTAAACAATATAAACAAAAACGCGGACTTACTCTACTCTGCTTTAAGCTTTAGCTAGTTATAGCCGCTTTCCTCCCCTTTCCACCAGAAAACGTTTCCTTAAAAGTAGGCCAGTTTCTTGTAAAATGTCTCTCATCGTTCGACTGTTTTATGAAGCTGAAGTTGCTTCTCATTCTCCAGCTTCTTGTTTGAATTTTCCCGTTCCACCTTAAATTGTGCCTGAGGCGCCGAATGTAAATGCGGCACCGTTTAAGGTGGACCGGGACAATTCGAAAGAGAAGCGACTTCATCTTTGCGACTTTTAGTGTTTGACAGTCTCTCGTTGCAGATTTAACGTACCAGGAAATCAACTGCGCTGCTTATAAATGCGAATAAGTCCGTTCATCTCCAAATGTTCGTCTTAAATTTAGCCTTTTCGTTCGCTACTAGCCAGGCGAGACAGTCTGCAGGCCAGTTCTCAGCCGTTGAGAACCGGGGCTTTCGCGCTATGTTGCACGCGCCCCGTCTCAAAAATATCTTATTTACGCAGAGATCCCACCACTCTCTACAACGAGACCAAAACCGAAGTTATAAAATCACTAAAGAAAACGAGTAGAATAGCTGTAATGTGCTGCATGGACATCTATTACCTCTGGATCTTGTGTCACCCTTACAGCGTATTTTATCGCAGATGAGTGGCAGCGGCATCTCATGTGCTCCGAACAGCAGTGAATGAGAGCCTTCAAGTTCATTTGCCGCATCACTTCCATTTGATTTATTAATAAAAGATATTGGAAGTAAATGCATTATGGATCATTACAAATACTTTGCTTTAAAACTACCAAGTCCTCAGACAGTAGGAAAATAGAAATCCTGTATAGCAAAAAACAGATGCATCAAGATGCATCGATGCTCGTTTTATAATCGCATCGCAGCCCTCTGAATCGTAATCGAATCGAATCGTGAGGTGCCTAGAGATTCCCACCCCTAGTAACGATGCATTTGTTGTCCTTTTTACACAGGAAAGTAAAATTTGATCCCATCTGGTCAAACTGGGGATGTATGGAAAATTGTAAACAGAATCCAAAGTTTGTCCAGATACAATCTAGACACAAAACACATGCTAATGCAAGGGTCAGAGCATCACTTGCCAGAATTGAAATAATGGGTAGGCTACTCTTTCCTGTGCTGGAGGAATACAGTGGTTGCATACAGTGGAGAGTGTTGGGGTCTAAAAATCTGAAAATGCTTTTATTTGGCATTCTTTTCTAAATTAATACAAATTGTTTCATTGTATAAGGGATTAGAGTTGTTTCTGTGTCCCTAGTAGAAAAAAACACTAGTAGAATTAACAGATCTGTAACTTCCTTAAAACTGCATTCGCAAAGATGTATTTGCCCCCAGATTTCACCTTGAAAAGGACGCTACATCAGAGACTTTTTACTCTGTCAGCTCAATGGAGAACACAGTCTAACTCTGCTCTCTCTGACTCTCTGTGAGTGTATGTGTATTTAACTGTCTGGGAGAAACGTAGTAAGGCTGGGCGATTAATCAAATTTTAATTTTAATTTTTTTTTACTTATTTGTACTTCCAACGGTTATGAAAACAAGATAATCGAGGCATATTGATTATTGTGCCACATTCTGTTTTGCAACGATGCAAAAATGCTCATTTTGTCTTGTGTTACAAATCCAGTGCACCACCTCCTTTTATTTTTAATGTGTTTTTCAGTTGAGTTAAAGTTCAAGGAAATCCACTGTTAAAAAGGACAATTTTTAAAGTTTAATAAATGAATCATGTTTCCAAAGTCAACAGAGTAATCATGTTAAATAACCGTGATCTCAATATTGACCAAAAATGATCGTGATTACGATTTTTGCCATAATTGAGCAGCCCTACTCTTTAGCTGTTTAACTGTTAAATACAGAAAAATCTAAACAGATTAAACTGCTGTTGTTGATTGTTATTTTAATGGTAGAAATGTTCTTAAACAGTATCGGGTGAGAATGTTTGGAGCTGGTGAATTTAAGGTTTACTGTCTCTGAAGGTTGACATCTATATGGACCGTTCTACTGAATTAGCTGAAACTGTGGTCCTACAGTACAAAAGGCTTTCAATTAGATAGCCATAAGCTAAATATATACAAAATTATCATTTATAGGGTATTTTCCAATAAAAGGTGGCCGTCCCAATCCCTAACCCCTATATTTAAACTTGTTCACATACTTACTTTTTTGTATCTTTTTCAGTGATTTTTTTAAAGATCTTTTTGGTTTCTTTTGAACTTGAAGATTTTGATTCATCATGAATCAAAAAACCTTCAGCAAAAAATGCTGTCCCACAGAGTTTTAGTCCATAGGCGGGGCCTGAGTTTAGCCACACCCCTGCATGTTAAAGCAGGAAGTGAGACTGCACCCTTGTCCCTCATGGCCAAATGGTAAGCAGTTAGATCCCATTGTTTTGAAATAAATGTGCCCCAAGGTCTAAAAATCAGTGTGTAACCTTATGAATTGTCACTACCGAAACACACATTTGTGTGTGTGACTGTCCAAAGCTGTGTTTGCTAGTCACGTTCTGGCCGAAGTGGGCTTTGAAACAATTCTGTACAATGATCCATATTTCATTACTTTATTTCATTTATCCTTACCAACTGTTTGATTTTTTTCCTAAATTTCCTGCTCAGTTTTTCCTTGGACTTTTTTAGAAGGTGGCACCTCTGGTCTGCTGGTTGCTTGCTTCCAACTTGTTCTCAAACCTCAGAAGAACTAAATAATGTCATACGTATCGTGAAAATCGTAAAAATATCATGTTTCAACGTGATGTTTTGCCATATCACCCACCCTTAGTTTGAATAAAGCACTTTCAGGCTTTCAGGACAGATGAGCTGATACAGGCTTTCATTCAGATGCCACAGGTTCATTTTCCCAATTTGAGATTGCTTTTAGATCTGAGCTCTCCATCTCTGTTAAGCCTTGTTCGTATTCATAGCTTTTCCGTTCATCGCAAACATTCGGAAAGTCAAACAGAGCATTGCTGAGAGGAGATAAATAAATGCTCGCGGCAGGACAAGCTGCCCTCTCAGTCTTTTCTCCCAAAAGAAGGATGAGCACCTGAGGGTTGGTGACATTTCACTGCTCTGTGTACATGCCAATTATAGGGCAGGAGAACAGCAAGGAGATAAGCCATCCCGAACGGCCCAGTGTGTGATTACTCCATTGATTTCAATTACCTTCCTACCGTCTAGCTGGAAACAGTATTCACCAGACACTCTCTCCTCCCCGTGTAGAGAAATAAACCATGAAATAAACAAACTCCAGCGCACAGTCATTACAGACCACTACAGGTGTTAAGGAACCGCTGCCGTTAGCGGTGCTGCCTCCGCTGCTCCACACAATAATTATTGTTTCTAATCAAATTCAGAGACTTTCTTATAATGAGCTTCTTTTTTCTTTGCCCAACATCACAGCCATGAGATCTTTCCAGGCTGTGCGTAAGGCTTTGGTTCCCGTGCAGGGTAATTGATTGATGTCCTTTGGCACTGCCGGCCGGTAATGTAATCGCTGTAGCTGTTGTTTCTGTTCTCATTAAGTGCTGCCATCTGGAAGGAAGAGTTTTCAGATGCAATTTTCTTTTCCAAAACAAAACTGCTGTTCACCTACTGGTGAAGTAATAGACAAGCTGGACATACTGTGGAGTGGGCAGTGGCAATTCAACAGCATTGATTTTGCAATGTTAAAATCATTTGTAATAATATTCAATGAAGCATGTCCTCACTTTTTCTTTGGCAAAAATAACATTTGTTGGTTTTTTTTAGAAGTAAAAATACAAAGTTATTCAAAATTTCTCAACATTTGTGTATTCAGGACTTTTAAGAGTCATGAACCAAAATAACTGAATCGAATTGTGGTGAAGATTTCATGATGCACTGAATCATTTCCTAAAGAACCTTAATCAAACTAATTTGTTAAGTCTACGATTTACACTTTTGTACTCTCTAATAAACGAAGGAGCCTAAAAGCTTTCTTTGGGGGATTCCACGGTTTCCATATCAGATGTGTGAGTGTGAACAACCTTTTTAAAGGTTAAACAAGCTCCACATAACGTGAAGGTTCTATATTGATTCAATTCTGACAATTACAGTCCTTGAGACATAAACCGAGTTGTTTAGAGTGGTTTGATGAGAAATGGTTCACTATAGAGAACCTTACAGACTCTGATTTCTTTACAGTGGTGCTGATAGGAACCAGGGGTCACAGTGTCTACAACACAAATACAGCCACTTTATTTACTATCCAAAGCCAACAGAGAACCTACAAATATCTTCTGAGTTGTTATATGTAATGTTGATGATGGTAAAATAGTGATAAATCTGTTTATATGTTTTCTTTGGGAACTATTCAGCCTTACAACACCCTGCATGTATCCCTCTGCTATGAATGAACTGAAATAAATGGATTAAAATACATTTTAAGCCAAAACTTTACCACGCAACTATCATAAAACAGTGTGTCAGATGTCAGGCAGCATATGTCTAACCATTTCATGTAATAAGCATTAAACTCTTCGTACGTCTGGTTCCTATCACCTCTGATGTGAACAATTCTGACTCGGCAGGTTTCTCTAGGAGAGCTCCCCTTTATAGATTTTTCCTAGAACCACACATTCAAGCCAAGAATCATTAAGGAAACATTATATGTAAAAGTGCATAAGCAATGAGGAGGCCAGTACTTACTGTGGACATCTCCTCTCTGTTTCTCTGTAATGTCTTTGTTAATGTTGTTGTCTAGTTGGGTCACTGGAGGGGCAGGAGGTCTGCGGGTGGGAATCAGAGGGACCCGGGGTGTGGGCGGTGGCGCTTTGGTGGTAGCAGGTCGGCGAGGTGGGACGTACGGCTTTTGGGTGATGACTGGGGGTCTGCGAGTGGGCACAGAAGGCTTGCGGGTTGGGATGGTGGGTTTCTTAGGTGGTGGTGGTGGAGGAGCTGTCTTTGGGGGAGAAGGTGCCTTGGTAGGGGTGGTGGTAGACGGTGTTGTTGCGGGAGTCCTCTTAGGGGTCACTGGTGGTCTGGCAGTAGTGGTTCTTTTCTGGTCAGCGTCTGGAATCCTGTTGTTGTTGCTGGGCGTGGTCTTTCCAGGTCTGGGAGGTTCTATAATCACTTTGGGGATCGCTAAATGGACAACAAAGAGCATTTATCAAACATACAGCATTCACAGAATACAGAAGACCATTTTATAGCATTTTTGTCTAGATGAAAAGATAATCGAGATTGCAAAGAAAGCACTGATCAAATTATACTGTGATATACTTTTAATATTGCTGATCTGCTAATGAGGAGTTGTGGTTTCAATCTGGACACCAGTTTCTTTCCAAGCTTGATAGAAAACCAGTCCAAAACAGTAACTCGAACTGTTTTTCTTCTGGTTCATCCTAAGAAATCACTCTAAAAACAGATGCCAGTGTTTGCGGAGGCTATCAGAGAGGATAAATATTCACCACGTAATTAGAAAACCTGTTTTTGATGGAGCGTCAAATTTATTTCTGTCCCCCAAAATAATTTTAATGGTCCTTGTTCATCAAAGTCATGTAGAAACAAGTGCAGATTAGAAAGCCTGGAGTGAAGCACAAACTACTCCATGTCTAGTTCATGAAGCTTCACGTGCTGAGTGGAAACAAGCACCTGAGAACTAGCCCCTCATCTACATATTATATGCAAATGATGCCCTAATTCATGCAGGTGTTGCAACAGCAAGCCAATAAAGGAACATGAGTGAATGGCTGTCCTCCATGACAAAATGTGACCACTCACAGAACACTGTAGCACCATATGAATGGAGCATTACATTGATACACTTATGTAAAACTTCACACTAGTGCAGGGTCCTCTAGAGAACTCCACGAGGTCGCAGAGGGCCAGTGTCCAGCACAGTATGGTAGTTTACCTGCTCAAAGACTCAACTGTTAATTGCCAGGTTTAGTGGGTGTGTTTGAGTAGGGGAATTAAAACCTGTGCTGGACACCAGGCCTCCAGGGCTAGAGTTGCATACGCCAACACTAGAGTAGGTGATATTTCTGAGGCTACACTACAGCTTTGATATATAATTCCACAAAGGACTTCACTCAGTCTTTTATCAGCTCTGAGAAGCGCCTGCGGTCATTTACCTATTTATAGAACTCAGAGTACTGATCTAAGACCAGTTTCATGTATTAAAGAACAGAATCATATGGCCAGTGAAAGCTGATCCTGGTAGACAGCCTGCGTAGTAGCATAAATGGAATAAGGGCTTATGTAGGGTCAGTTGCCTTAGCTTCAACAGCCCATTTCCCACAGCACTGAGATACAAGGCTTAAAGGAAAAGTTCTGCCAAAAATCCATTTCTGCATGACCCCAAAGGTATTTCACCAGCTAAGACATGTCTGCATGCTGCAAAAATAAAATTCAGACTTATAATTAAGATTAAGATTTATGCTGCTACTGTTTTACCTAAGCAGTGTACTTTTGGCCTTTTTCATAGATAACAGTATCAGAAACCACACAAGCAAGACTGTGTGAGAATTCTTAACTGCTCAGTAGGGTTTAAAGCAAGTGTGTGAGGACAGAGACATGCAGTTTGCACAGTGCTAATTGGTGTACATAAGCTTCCATTACTTTATGGCTACTTTAGCCCTGCCAAGCAAAAGACACCAAACATGTCTTTGCTGATTTACTGTATTTGGGATAATGGGATGACTGGGCAAATTTGATTTTTTGTGCCACATTCTATTCTTCTAATGCTGAATCTATTTCCACAAAGTTCAAACAGATCATTTTGAATGACTCCTGCATTTACTGTCCTAGAAAATACAGTTCTGCTTTGGAAATAAGGCCAGAGAACATGTAGAGAGGAGAATTACCACATTGTATTGTGTTTCTCAAACACTAGAGGGCGCTCCCAAGTGAGTCCAAAATGAATGGGTTAAGATGGAGCATTTGAGTAAAATCATAGTTCATAAATGCTTAAACATTTTAATGCAAAAGAATGCAATCATATCCTGAACACAGAACGGCGTAAAACATTTTAACACTGAGGTTATATTTTTAAGAACTTTTAAATTCGAGTTATAGGAGGGTAAAACGGTGCCTCGTGTACGTTCATGAAATCAGTGCGCATGAACAGCCAATGAGCTTGTCAGAAGCAGTAATTTTACTGTTCTGCTGCTTAAACCCGTTTGCTGTAGAAAACAGAAATGGAAATATATAGTTTTCTTTGCTTTTTTAGTGAAATACATTTTTTTCTTTTAGCCATTTAACTCCATTCACCCCCATTCATTGAGGACTCACTCACGTGGACCCTCTGCTGTTTTGCAGTCCTGTTTTTGATATAACGGAGGAAATAGAAAGTGTCATAAGGCTACTAGGGACATTACCCATCTCGATCTGCATTTTTTGGGGTTTTGTCTGTCGTCAGGTGGGTAATAATGTTAACAGTGTCTTGTGCCAGTAGAAATGTGTCACTAATTCTAGGGGATTAAGTCTCACAATGATTTTAATGTTTTTCTGCCTCACTGTACAAGCAAGAGTTTTTAAAGCCTTTGGGTCTTGTCAGTGGAGTGTAAGCTGTTGAGAATGGACTCAGTGCCCTGGGGGAAAGTCTAAGCATACGTTGTGCATTGGTGGGGCCGCCATTTGTTGTTCTGAAGGAAAAGTATGCCGTCCTTTGTCCGTGAGGACTGAAATGCTAGAGCTGTGAACCTGAAGCCATCGCTGTCAGAGAGTGGAACAGACAATAGGCCTTCAGCAGCAGTGATGACAGACAGGAGGTTTGCTTTCAGCACTTCTGAAAAAAATCAATAAAGTGCAAGAAATGTGGTTCAAAAACTCTAAACCTCAAGAGTAGCACTATGTATTGGAAAGCCAAATGTGATTCCAATGGAACATCTCTCAGTATTGCCTTTACAGCCCTTGCGACTGACTTTGATGCAGGGTAAATCTTAGCAAGGACAACATGAAAGTATGAGGCTGCTGCATGGCCACAAGCTGAGGGCAGCTTTTTCTGAGCAACGGCATTTAGAGAGTATGATTACAGCAAGTCATGTACTGAGCGTTATAGTGTCTCTGAAGGGCCATTTCATACATTTTATACACACAATAACGTTTCTACTCTAAACTCAAGATCTCTGTTAAAATAATCAAGTTTTTTTTTACTGTATTTCAGATTCACCTGGCTGTTTAAGAGTAATCACATAATTCATTACACAGTTACATAATGAATTACATTTACATGCATCGATTCGGTCTGTCTGACAGATTCAAGTCTGTCCTTCCACAACACTGTTATCACCAGAAATAACTGTGACATCTAAGGTTTAACCAAATAAACAGAGGACGAACTTCAGGGTAATTTAGGCCTCCAGAGAAGGCCTAATGATTTCAGGAAAACTAAAAATAGATGTTTGTAATTTTAGTTCACTTTTGGTATTAATAGTATCATCATGTGTGTTTTATATAAACTCTGCAAATGAAGAAATAATAATAATAATAATAATAATAATAAACTGGTTCTTTTTTCTCTGTCCAACTGATCAGATAAAAATATTGTGATGTATCACGTATCATGAAATTTTCTTGTAATTTTCTTGTAATAAGAATCGCAGAAATATACACCGATTAGGCATAACATTATGACCACCTCCTTGTTTCTACACTCATTGTCCACTTTATCAGCTCCACTTACTATATAGGTGCACTTTGTTAGCCCCCTTTTACCCTGTTCTTCAGTGGTCAGGACCCCCATGGACCCTCACAGAGCAGGTACTATTTGGATGGTGGGTCATTTTCAGCACTGCAGTAACACTGACGTGGTGGTGGTGTGCTAGTGTGTGTTGTGCTGGTATGAGTAGATCAGACACAGCAGTGCAAAATGGGCACATATTTTTCAAAAAAACAACATTTGATTTGTTGTCTTTGTACTGTTTTCAGTTAAATATAGGGTTGAAATGATTTGCACATCATTGCATTTTGTTTTTATTTACATTTTGCCCAGCATCCCAACTTTTTTGGAAACAGGGTTGTATAACCAGGTTTCAGTGAATTGTTAGCAATGGCAAACAGGAGCAGCAGCTCAATGACCGGACTCTTTACTGAAAAAGTCAATGTAAAACTGTAATGTATAAGGTATATGTTACTATCTTTTACAAGCTTTAAAATAAACACAGCTTCAAATGTCCATGTTTAATCCATGTGTAATCTAGCACACCCACGAATGCTAATGTGTAGCATTAGTTTAGCACTAACATACTATTATAAATCCCATAAGGGTGCTAGTAGAAACTAGCATTAACATTTTTTCTTGTTTTTTGACCATTTTTTTTTTTTTACATTTGTGGGCCAAACTGAAAGCTTAGCTCCAATAGTCATGGTTCACCTGCAAACACATAGCCACTCTTTGCTTTATGTACAGGGGCATACGTGTTGTGTTGTGTTGTGTTGTGCCATGGGCGCTCAATGTGCTGCGCACTCACGTTTACAGTCATGGCCCAAACCACCACGGAAGCCATCCTTGCACTTGCACTTGAAAGAGCCTGGTGTGTTGTAGCAGGAGGAGTAAGGGCCACACTGGTGCTGTCCTGTAGAGCACTCGTCTACATCTGAAAAAGAGTTACTCTACAGATATAACCTCAGAGTTATAACCTAGTACCTAAGCAGAGCGTACGCAGACACCTCTATCTAATATGACCAATTAGTTACGAGGTTTAAGAGCAGACATCAATTTAAAATCTCTTTGGGGACACATCCTCAAAGCATTTAGCGCTAATAAATACAGACAACATGACTAATTAGTTACTACTTCTAATAGCAGACATCAATTTAAAATCTCTTTGGGGCTAAAGGCTGAAAACATTTAGTGCTAACAGCCACTTACATCTCTAGCATAATCAATAAGATGTCTAGTGTCTACACAGAGCAAACCATTAGAGCTGAATGATTATACACTAATGATAGAATTGAACGATGGGCAACCTTTGTTACTCACCTGTTCTTTGTCCATGATAGAACATGAATTTAATCTCGAAACTGTGGTATTGTTGATATTTCCATAGACTAGGATATTAATGTAGTGTTTAAAATGTTACTGCATTGTCATAGATTGGCTTAAAAACCCAGAAATGGCATCTTTTTAAGACATATGCAAGAGCTCCTGTTTTTTCATTGTTTGTAATTAGTGCTGCTACTTAAAAGCCTTGTTTAAGAATCACCAAAGCTACCATGCTTACTTTTAGCAGTAACAAAGTTCTCTGGCTAATTCACTATTAATGCATTCCATGAAAATACTGGAATACCTAAACCTCTTGAACGTCTACATATATGAATAATACTCCAGTTCCTATTACTGCAAGTACTTTGTTACGTAATCCCATATAATCCTCATGTATACACAAAACAAAAATCGGTTTTAATGCACATATTCATTGAAATGCTTATCATGAGTGAACTATATGATACTGGCCGAGTCTTGTTTACCTATGCACTGGTATTTCCCGTTGATGTACTGCAGATCGAAGCCATCGTGGCACTTGCAGATGTAGCTGCCGAAGGTGTTGATGCACTTGCGGAAGCGGGGGCAAACGGCAAGGCCTGTGGCGCACTCGTCCACGTCTGAAAAACAAGCAGCTCTATCCATCATCTACTACTTCCACTACATATCCACCTCTCTCTTCACAACTGCTTTAATATTCCTAAGCTGGGGCAAAGTGCATTTAGAGCTGATGTAAGAAGAAAGCCTCAGGCAGTGTCAGGTAAGGCCAAAAGATCTCTGGACTAGGAGTGTGGATGGGTTAGCAAATACTTGGTCAGCACTTCCAGGTGCCAGTGTTTTTTTGAATACTGAAATCACTATTTTGTTTATTTAATATGTTATATGATACAAAATCAGGGGAAAAATTGTACCTCTGAAAAATGAAAGTGGCTTGTGTGGCAGTACTGTTGTGGTGTGAAAGTAATGCAACACCAAACTTGCCAACAGCTGTTCGACCAGCTCTCTGTTACAACAGCGTCCAAAAGTTTGCAATCGCCTGTCAGTTTAAAACTTGTTGTTATTTTATTCAATAACAACTGATACAGTGTTATGGGGTGGACAATTTGACACAATGCATTATCATAGCACACCAGTACACTGAACTGCTGCGTGTTTCATTACAAAGAGAGCATATTTGGTCCTGGTTAATTGGATTTGTGCAGTGCAGCAGGTGAAACGATGAATAAAAATGATTGTATTCATGGTTTTAGTAAATGCCACATTACTGGTTCTTTTTAAATCTGATCTTACCTCCATCTCGACCCTGTCCAAAAGCATCTCGATTTGTTTCTATTTTTATTTCTCAAGATATATATAATGCTCCACAATTGCTTGGAATAAAAGCTCTTATATCAACTTACATTACAAGTTAAGAACATTTTTGCTTCCTCCTGTGAATTTGCCATTTTGGATATACAAGTTTTTTTGGTAGTGATGATGTATCAGGAAAATGCCTTGTAGTATCATATTGTTATTTTTGCTTTATCAATTATGTTGAGACTATAAGCTGGACACCTGAAGGTACTTTAAGATGTTTTATATTCAATATTTTAAGTTTTCTGAAAAGAAGTAATTCATTTAGTTCATTAGTAAATTATATATATTGTACTATATATTGTATAATTATCTGTTCAAGTTGTTTGTCTCAAATCTGCTTCAAACACAATGAATTCTAGGTGTGAATTTTGTTATAACTTCATTCTCAATGTTTTACAGCTTTCTTAGTCGTTATAGAATCATCTACAGCTCTGTTCATCATTCTTGACATTTCTTCATTTTTACAGCTTCCTAGAAATTAGTTGAAACTTGGAAGTTGTAGAGCAACAGCATCACAATCATTTCATTAATAAACCTACAACAGGTTTTTACATTGTTGAAAAACAGTATTTCCAAACCTTTGAACAGTACTGTACAGTAAGATTGAAATATCCTCCACAGTTGTTTGACTGAGCAACAGCACAACACTAGTACAGTCAAATCTCAATAACAGTACAGTCAAATCTCAATAGCAGTGTTCACGACCCAAGCTGGAAAATGCAAAAGCTTAACTGCAATACAAAAATAACCTTTAAGTCCTTTCTTATTCTCTTCTCTGAAGTTAAGCAAATGCCTGTTCATTAACTTCTGGATGCTGAAAGTACAAAAGTCAGAATGCACATTCCTACTTTGGACACCAGCGCAGGATGGTCATGAATACACATCACAGCATTGATCTTTAATTCTCACAAATTTTGCTTATATACAGTGAAATGCAGAAGAACTAAGAGCAACTCGCAAAAGTATCTCACTCATCAGCATCAGCATCAGCATCAACTGAGTACTGCTGTGTATGTGAGAGAAAGAGAGAGAGAGAGAGAGAGGAGAGAGGGAGGTAGAGCAGAGAGGGAGAAAGATGCAGTAAATGAGATATAGCAAACAGAAAAAGAGAGAGCAAAAGAGTAAGAGAGAGCAAGCAGGAGAAGAAAGAGTGACAGAGACACATCAAGGAGTGAGAGAGAGAAAGACAGAAAGAGAAAGACAGAGATATAGCAAACAATGAGAGAGAAAGAAAAAGACAGAGTGAGAGAGAAAGGAGCGAGAGAGAGAGTAAGACAGAGAGAGAGTAAGAGAGACAGAGAAGAGAGAGAGAGAGAGAGAGAGAGGGAGGGAGGAGATATAGCGAACAGAGAGATGCAGCAATTTCTCATCAATCACTCCAGTGCTGGTCCGTTCACTCGCTCTAGAACGTGGTTCCCCTAAGCTGCCTTTGATTCCATAAACATCTAACTAGGATCATTTCCTTTTTCTTTTCTTCTTCAGAAAAACTTGTTTGATTGATCGTTCAGTCAGACAAGGAACAAAACATGGAGAATGACACTATTATTCATTCTAAAAATCTACTGGAGAAAAAAGTGCCTGTGGAAAGCATAAATCTAAAGTCTCTTCAACCACATTGTTGTGCAGAGACTCATTTGCGCAGGATGAGTAATGTGTGCAGAATGTGAATGTGAGCGTTTCTGAAAAGCACAGAGACTCCGAAAGCTGAGAGGTGACAACCTGAGGCTGGAAGGTTCCACCATTCTGAATAGAACAACAGCTTAATTAGGGCACCTTTGGCCTCTGCTGTTTGCGTCTGAGCCCGTATGTGTCAGTGTGCGGATGTGTGTGCGAAAAAAAATGTGTTTTACATATTTTACCTGAAAGAGTAAGAAACCTAGCTGCTTAAAAAAATTCAGTTCACTGAACTTGTAACAGTAAGTTAACAGAACAGTAATATGTGTCTTACATTTCATCAACTCAAATCAACCAATAAAATCTAAATTTGAAGGCAGACTTTACATCAATATCAAATCATTTGTCACAGTCCAGAAATCAACTGATATATGCACTAGTTGGCTCTGTGGGCAAATGCCTTACACTGGGGACTGAATGTGTAGACCAACATTACCTGCTGTTTGCATTCAAAACGCTTTGAATTGACATTTATTTTATATAAAAAAATGTATTAATAGAAACCACTTAAAGCTAGAACCTCTCTGAAGTGGACATGTGTGACCATACAAGAACAGCAGATGGAAAAAACAGCATATCTTATGGATCAATATAATTGTAATGATTATAAGAGAGGAGAACAGGGCACAAACTAACACAGGGTAAAAGGTAATATGAATATTTTATGTAGTTAAAAGTAGATCAAGTAGAATGTGCTTTAAGTCACACACAGATACATCAAAAACATGCTAAAGATGTAAAGATGTAAATAAATCATATTTCAATTTTGTGCTGTTCTACTTATAAATATGTTTGCCATGTTTGATACACTCTCTTTTTACTAATCAATTTTATTTTAATGAATATCCACTTACCGAGCACTTTATTAGGAACATTGTACTAATACTGGGTAGGGCCTCCCTTTGCTCTCAAAACAGCAAATTCTTTGTGCCACAGATTCCACAAAAAGCTTTCAGATGTACTTTAATGCTGCAAGTCTACAGTTCTACCACATCCCAAAGGTGTTCTATTGGATTCAGATCCTGGCCTCTAAAGAACACTGAACTCACCAGTTTGAGACTTGTGCTTTGTGACATGAAGCATTGTCATGCTGAAAATAGCCATTACAAAATGATAAATTACAGTCATCAAGGGCTGCACATGCTCAGAAACAACACACAAACAAGTTGTGGCATTCGAGCAATGATTAATTGGTATTAACAGGCTCAAAGTGGTGCCAAGAAAACGTTCCCCACACCATTACACCACCTCCACCAGCCTGGACTGTTGACACAATGCAGGCTGGGTTCATGGATTTATGTTGCTGGCACCAAATTCTGACCTTATCATCTGTGCCCCTAGCAGAAATCGAGATTCATCACACCAGGCTATGTTTGTCCAGTCTTCGACTGTCCAGTTTTGGTGAGCCTGTGCCCATTACCGCCTAAGCTTTCTGTTCTTGGCTAACTAAAGTGGAATCTGACGTGGCCTTCTGCTGTTGTAGCCCATCTACCTCAAGTTTTGACGTACTGTGCTTTCTGAGAGTGTTGTGCTTTTCTGATCACCACAACTGTACTGTACCTGAGTTACCGTAGTCCTTCTGTCAGCTCATACCAGTCTGGCCATTCTCTATTGACCTCACTCATCAATAAGACATTTCTGTCTGCAGAATTGTTGCTCACTGGATGTTTTTATTGCACCATTCTAAGTGAGCTTTAGAGACTGTTGTGTGTTAAATCCCAGGATATCAGCAGTTATAAACACTCAAACCAGCCCATCTTGCACCAAAAATCATGCCCCAGTCAAAGTCACTGCAATCATATTTTTCCTCATTCTAATGGATGATTACCTGAAGCTGCTGCCCACATCTGCATGATTATATGCACTGCACTGCTGCCACATGACTGGCTGATTAGATAATTGCGTGAATGAGCAGGTGTACAGGAGTTCCTAATAAAGTGCCTAATAAAGTGAGTGTATTTTTATGTATTTGAGTTGGAAAGCTTGTCTGGTTCAAACAACATACTGTATTCAATTAATTGTGTTTTGCATTAACTTACAGTTATCCCTGCCTATGTTTGCATGCTTGAATTGTTCAGAAATGTAGGTGCTGGAATTAAAGGTTAACCTGCTCTTCTATGTTATTAATGTTATCCATCAATGCTGCTGTTCATAGATTTGTATAAGTCACAAACTATCATGTTAAAACAAGAAAACAAATAGGAACACAAGCCACACATCAGTTGCGCTTTATCTTTACTCTGATTAACCCCTTAATATTCCAGGCTTATTACATACTAAGCCTTATTGTTCAGTAACTACAGGGACTTCAGTGCAAACTAATCAAGCTTTTCTTAGGCTATAGAAGTGTGTAGTAAAACTTTGGGCCTTCCAGCAGGCCCATAGCTTGGTAAATGGTTAAATAAATCACTAATAAGCACTTACTGATCTGAACTGTGCTCTGAATGAGCTCCCATACTCACTTAGATAAAAATTACCGGTCCATCCAACAATAAAGTAATCCTCGTGTATCTTATGTAGTGAGAAAAAACACTGGCAGCATACAGACAGCTCCAAAACTACACGCTGACAGATTTCACTGTGGTCAAGATAGACAGGTACGTGCTGCAATTCCTTTGACAGCAGATTTAAACAAGTATAAGAAGGTAAATGGAGGTGACATGGCACATTATGCCCCCGATTCAAAGTTAACCTGTGTTTTGAATGCAAACAGCAAGAAGGAGATCTGACTGCTTTCATTCCCTATTCAGGGGCAGTGCTTCATTTTAGTGAAATAAGGCACTGAGTTAAAAAGCCTTTATTGAGGCACGGCTATGGACACAAACTTGCAATATGTTTCGGCCTTGATGAAGACTCACGCCGAATTGCGTTGAGAGATTCTGAGTGCCATAGATATTCACTTTTTCTCAAAGAGAGCAGTAAGTCAGGAAAAAATTTCAAAGACGATGAAACCAATTCTAGAGTCAACTGCAAGTTGTGCAAACTACACTGAAATACAAGAAAATTATTTCTGTTATGCATAACCACCTGAAAATGATGCACGTTTCGTTTATGTCCAGCTTAATCTACTTTAAGCTGTGTTGGTTAAATAAGCTCCGGTTTCATCTGGACCCTTTGCGCATCACACTTTCAGGAGAAACTGAGCTCAGAGTGAAGTTCATTAGTTTATCATCTTATCCATCTTCTGTTCTGTGTATAAAGTGAACATCCTTTATTAACTGTTTTAAGACATGTATGATCCGTGTAAGTTGTGAACTTGAGTTAGTTTCACTTTCACACATGGTTTAGTCAGTGGTTGGAGTGAGTCGTTAGTTTGTAGCTGCTGTGATTAGTGCTTAGCTGTTAGCAGTTTTGTTACATGTTCGTAGAACTACTTCGAGTTATAGCTAAAAATGAAATGCAGTTGATCCGGTGGAATGAATCGTGTCAGTTGACATGATCATGTGATGTGTTGCTGTTGTTTTGATTGGAAATGTGAAACTTGTTCCATGAAATTGAGATGTTTGCAACTGTTGTTTCAAATAAGTTGCAAGATGCTTTACACCAGGGGTTCTCAACCTTTTCCACCCTAAGGCCCACCTGTGTAAAACTACAAAGCATAGTGGCCCACAGGAAAACTAACGTTAAGTTTTTTAAATACAATTTTACTTTTCTTTTCTTAAATGCTGACACTGAAAACCTGAAAATTAGGTCCTAAAAAAGATAAGTTTGGCCATTCTGGTTGTCAGTAGGTTTGCAAAATTTGCATGTATGTTAAAAAGCATGAAACATGTTTGTAGTGATGTCAAAAAGGGGGAAAAAAGAATAGAAATGTAAAAAGTAGATGTGATTTGGAGCCGCAGTCCATTGCGTTTTCACTGACAATCCAGCTTAATGTACTTTTTGTTAATCTTTTTTATTGTGGTAAAAATGACTTTTCTTTTTGAATAATCAACTAATAAAAAATAAACAGCTACGATCCCCTCACACACTTGTGTTTCGACATCACTGTAGCTTTCCTCTTTCCCTTGGGCTCGTAAAAGGGCCTCTCCTGAAATATTTCAAGAACGGAACACCTGTGCCTTGCAAAACACTGTTGATGGCCACTCTGAGATTGATGGGCGTTTGTTTGAGGGCTACTGCCGGTCCACCCCTCCCTCAGCTGCCCCCGGGGTGAAAGGGGGCTGAAAGTGGGAAAATGAGAAACGAGGGGGGTTGGTCAGAAAGATTTAGTTCACCCTCAGTCAAAAGAATAACGTATTTCAAACGTGACATGGGTTAACTGTTCCAATTTGTTCCCATTCCATCTGTGATTTAGTGGCCGGTAATTAATGGTGACTCACATGGTGGGGGAGAAAAGGATGGACGCTGCTGTAATGTCTCTGCACCTGTGGAACGGCATTAATACGGTTGTTAACGAATGCCACTATGCAATCTCCAAGCACTTACACTGTAATTAGAGTATCAAAGAAAAGAGCTTGTCGTCTGGTTGTCAAGGGCTGTTGGAATACCAGAGGAACAGCGAGGAACGCGAGAATCACTGCGATTCGTCATGTTCTCTTTGTTCTTCACTGCTATTTGAGATTCAAAAAAAAAAAAATCACGCTCCTGCTGCTCAGAGTTTGTCATCTTTCTCTTCCCACGAAATGACAACAAAACAACATCCCACATTTGATCAGCATGCCACAAATGAGATTCAGAAGATGACAAGAGAGGCTGAGAAGAGGCTGAGAAGAAAGCCTCTACATGTTTGTAGAAAGACGTCTTTCAATTCAAAGGAATCGTTTGGTGGAAAAATCAAACGTACGCAAATTTCTCCTTACATTTAAGGCAAGGAGAAGATTGTGTATGCTTGAATTTTGGGCGAGTCATTCATGTGAATGTAAATTGAAAGTCTGTTTTTTTTAGATCTGCACTCCCTCCTGAAAAACCTAGCATGCTGGTCTGAACTGGTTTATGCTCCTCTGGTGCTGATTTAGCTGGTCACCCAACAAGGTCATGCTGGTTGACCAGCATACCAGCATCCAAAACGCAACTTATGCTGGTTTTGCTGGTGATCAGCTGGTTTTTCTAGCAGGGCTGGAGCTACGAAGCTCATGTGGCCAACAATAAAAAAGTTTACACCCCACCAACTGACATCTGTATGCCTAAATGTTTGCCTAAATAATCCCACACCACACCAATAATCCCAAACCACGATGAAATATTAGGCAATCTCAAGTAGACTTGCTTATGTAGTTAATAGGGCTATGTTTAAAATATGAATATGGCAATGTATCACAGAGAAACCTGTATCCATATGCATATCAATACACTGACAGCTGTATTTATATCTAGAAATTCACTTTTACATGACATGTTTACACACAAATGCATCAGATCCTTCAAGTCTGAGATCATTTTATAGCATCTAGCCTGTGGCAAACATGCTCTAGAGTTAGGGAGGGTTTAGATATGACTGTTTTGTATCTGATGAGGACATTTTTCGATTTACTGCCGAAACTGTTACTGTTTTATGGTCACAGACTCTCTCATACACATATGTGCCCAAGTACTGAGTAGTGCCTCCCAGGCTGCTGCTGCCTCTGTTAATAAAAGTGCAGGAGGTTCACTCTTCTGCCTCAGCATCTCAAAGTAAACCACACTTATGATACAGTTCTAAGGCTAGCTTTGTGAAACTTTCATTCAACTTGTTGCATGTTGTGAGTTGCATGCAACATAATTTCTGTGCAACTTCACAGTAACACTTAGCACTTCAACACAAAGCTGCATGCAAGCTAGCTACATAGATCATGATAACAGTATGCTAACAAAGTTAAACACTGGCAAAAAGAGTGGCATAACAGCTGTGACCACTAGCTGGCTAGTTAAGCCAGCTGGTTACTGAAACGTGGAAATGGAAAACCACCAACCTTGCATAAAGTCAGTCAGGGCGAGTCTCCTTTTCAACTACTGAATAAAACAATCATCTGTTATATTTTTTTTGTCCGTTGATTCAGTGAAATCAATTATGTATTAAGGTAAGGTATTATTGCCCTTTTGATTGGAAACTTAAAACTTGTTCCATGAAGTTGAGATGCTTTTAAATGAGTTTTAAATGAGTTGCAAGATGCTTTACACTATGAAATACAAATGCAATTCAAGTTTCATGTGGGTTTTACGCAACTAAAGTTGTGTGAAACTTTCACCTTGTTGTATGTTGTGAGTTGCATGCAACAATTTCTGTGTAACTTTACAGTTACACAAAGCACTTTATAAACAAGTTTATAGTTAAAGTTGCACGCAAGCTAGGTACGCAGATCATGATAACAGAAGTCTAACAAAGCCTAAACAGTGGCACAAAAGTGGCATAACGGCTGTGACCAATAGGTGGCTAGCTAAGTCAGCTGGTTATCGAAACGTTAACTTGGCATGGCTCAAGCAACAAAATGGAAAACTACCAACCTTGCTAAAGTCAGTCATGAGGCGTCTCCTTTTCAACCACTGAATAAAACAATCATCTGTTATATTTTTCTGTCCACTAATCCGGTGAAATCAATTGTGTCATTCGACGCGTTCATGTGATGTGTTACTGCTCTTTTGATTGGAAACTTGTTCCATGAAGTTGACATGCTTGTAACTGTTGCGCGTTTCAAATGAGTTGCAAGTTTCATGTAGGTTTCAAGCAACTAAAGTTGTGTAAACGTTTCTAGAGCAAATTTTAAGGTATGACGAAATGTCTGTTGTATATTTTATGTACTTTATCATTGTAACTTATCATACTGTGAAGTACGCTGACAATACAATGAAATATAAAATAAAATAGAATGGACCGAAGTGTGGATGAATCTGTGGATTTAATCTTCGAGATGGCTGCCACTACTGTTGTTTAGCTATGCACTACACTTTTGTCCAACGTAAGGCAGGTGGGTGATGGTTTAGGCATGCAGTTTGCACAATGTTAAGTAGCGAGGTTTTACCTTCCATTACTTGTTAGCAACATCAGTTTCATAGCTTCAGTGAAAACCTGAAGAAGCAAGCCAAACCTGTCCTGGCTGATCGACTACATTTGAGGTAAAGGAGAAACTGTGTAAAGTTTTTCCCATTCAAATTAAAGCAGTGGTGTTTGCATGGTTCATGATGAGCTATGTTGGAATCAGCCTTACCCACGCAAGTCCTGCCATCCAGGGCCAGCTGCAGGCCAGGCGATGGACACTGACAGCGGACTTCCCCTTTCATCACCTCACAGCCGTACTGGCAGTTGGCCATTCCGCACGTCCGAGCATCTGCAACACACATTCACACAGTGAGGAAAAGAGGTATATGACATTTCATCTTGTTCATAAGTACCAACAGCATGGATGAACTGCCAGGATTAGGAAAAGATATTTTTTAGAACAGATTCAAGAATTATGGAATATTAATAATTATCTTGATGAAAACTGTAATCAGAAATAATGAAGAGCTTTGAATACAAAATCTTCAAAATTGCATACTGACTACTTTTCGTTAGCATTAAAATGCTTTCAGTTAAGGAAAAACAACATTAAAAGAAAAAAATCAATTAAACATTATTAAAATGGATTTTAAGGTTTACGGTTACAATTATGCTTAAGACTGGTATTAAAGGTTTTGCCCCAAACACATTTAAATGTAATCCTCCTACAATCATCATGTTTTTCCAGACGTTGTAGATGCTAATCTGGTTATAATGCACACATTAACCTTGAAATGCTCCTAAAACATGAAAGAGGCAGAAAATGTAAGAGAAAATCAAAAACCACAATTTGCTTTCTGGGGTCGTTTTAATTTAATCACTTGTATAATTATATTGACTGTTCTTTTTAAAGAGCTCTGAGTAACTTTCTCAACCCCACAGTTAGTGACAAAGTCAACAACATGACTACAGAGTTAAAATGTGTTTCTGTGAAGCTTATTTTTCTTTTCTTTCAAACGAAGCAGCAGGGATGCCATTTTGCTGCCATGTTCTTACGAACAGTGTGATTTGTTCTGTGTGATGGAGTTATTACTGATGTATTTTAATGTTTTACTCTTTTTACACAGAAACAAAAGTCAGACACACATGACTTCGCAATCAGTGGTCACCAGAGGTGTAACGATACACTTATTTTTTAGGTTTTCAGATTTCATTCAAATTTGACATTTTAGTAGTTGAAATTTTCTTGGAACACAATGTAAACAATTCTGTTTGAGCTCAGTCTTAAGCCAGATTTAGACATCTAGACATTTTTACATGGCATCCTTGGGTTATTTTCTCTTTTACAGGTGCTACTCAGGGATTTTATTTCCAGCTGGAATGGCCATGTGTGTGTTTTTCTCCCTCCTCCCAGTCTGAGTTAACAACATTTTTTCACCAAACTCAGAAGTGCTCTGATAATTTTAGTCCCATACTGTTAATCATGCTGCTACTCCCCCTATTTAGTCTCCTAGGGTGCATATTCATATTATATTACACCATATTAATCATACTGGCTAACTCCCACACTTTGTGATTAGGTAATGAGAAAATGAAATGAGAGCCAGCATCTCTTCTCTTGTCCAGTGCTTCATCTCAAGTGATGAAAATATTCCGGACTGTAGAAAATATAGCTCAATATAAACTCCAGGGGTGCTTTTACTGCCATCTAGATTTGAGAGTTTTATCACTGATGAGACTTTTATTATATCACAGACATCCTCTTAGTAATCAAATATGAATAGGGCTGGACTTGTGATGTTATTTCTAGTTCATATGAGACTGCAAATAGAACTTTTTCAATGCCTGCCACACCAGCATTACAACAAAGCAAACCCCAAAACTCACAATCCTTAGAATTTATGAACGATTTCATAAAAAGCCTGATCATTTGAGTCTGTGTTCAAAGCATAAGCCCCTCCCCTCTCTGCCCACTTTACTCTGGTAGGATGCACCAAGATCAGTGCCCATGGTTTCCACAGAAGTCTTGGCCATACATTTTGAAATTTTCATACACTGATTTTGTACATCCTGGAAAAGGATGGCATGCCCACCCCGGTAAGGGGAACGGACCTGCTTTCTAGGTTCAAGTATCTTAATGATGAGTGATGGGAAGAGGGATTGTAAGATCAGCCACAGGCTGGGACAGGCAGCAGCAGTAATGCGGTCACTGTACTGGGCTGTAGTGGTGAAGAGGGAGCTGAGCTGTAAGGCAAAGCTCTCTGTTTACCGGTCGATCTACATCCCATCCCTCACCTATGGTCATGAGCTGTGGGTAATGACCGAAAGAATGAGATCGGCAGCAAAAATGAGCTTTCTTTGTAGGGTGGCGGGCTACACTCCACTTGACAGGGTGAGGAGTTTGGTCACCTGGGAGGAGCTCAGAGTAGAGCCGCTACTCCTCTGCATTGAGAGGAGCCAGTTGAGGTGGCTCGGGCATCTGATCAGAGGGTTTACCAGGCATGGCCTACTGGGACGAGACCCCGAGGTCGTCCTAGGACCTACTGGAGGGATTATATCTCCAAGATTGCCTGGGAGCTGAAGGAAGTTTGCGGGGGTCTGGGATTCTCTGCTTTCCCAACTGCTACCACAATTCTTGGTGGATTAAGCAGTTAAAGATGATGAATGAATGAAATCATTACACCCTTTGAATGAATCACATGATTCAACAATTTGGTCCAAATAATGCAGGTCAATCTTGAATAACATCATGTTGGAAGTTCTATTACAATCAGAGTACACTTCTGTACAGTGTTATTTTGTCCCTATCCTGCATTCCTAACATGAATCCTGAACTACTTGACCTAATTCCCTCTCCAAACACATCCTTTTCATTGCTAGAGTGATAATTAGCTCCATTAAGGAACAGCTTACCTGGTTAAACAGTTCAAGCATGTTTATGTTTTTCAAATACTGCAATACTTTTTGAAAAACCTAAAACATCATAATGTGATTTTCTTTCCCCGCAATATCTTCCAGCCTGACCACAGAGTGAAAGAAGGACTGAACTCTGCATGCGGGTCTGTATGACCAGGAGGCAAATGACTACAAGAGCAGATAACCTCCATTATTACCTCTCCATCTCCCACAATGCACTGAGAAAAACACTCTATTCTCTACTCTCCAACAATAACAGGTCATCCTGGAGTTCAGCCTATTTTCTCCCCAAATAACAAGAAGATGAAATCACTTATTATGCCTACAAGCCAAAGAAGGAGAGAGGAGGAAAACAGTGGGAGAGATACAAATGCACTCATTCAGAGCGTTAAAAATAGAGGTGTAAGAACTCAGTTACTCTCTGTCGAACTGCTGAGAAGACAATGAGAAAGAGACAAAGGACCAATAGCACTATTAGCATGATTCTTTAGTGCTTATATGGCAAATGTTGAGCATTCAATGACTAAAAAGTTTAGTAGAATTTTCTTTCTCTTACAAACTGAATAGGACTTACAGATGTCCATTATTGAGGAAAGAAATATGCTGAAGGATTCATTATCTGCACACTTTATTATGCTAGCTGTGTGTTTAACATGTAACTGAAATGTGACAGGATAATCCTACATAATTTAATATATATTAGTATAAAATCAAAACGGTTTTTACAATAATGCATGACATCTCCAGGCCTGGAAATGAAGGCCATAAAAGGCCATGATGTGAAACTAAGCCACTGTAATTCACAGCCTTAAGTGTTTTATTTCTTTAATAAAATGGTGAGAAAATACAACATGAAAAAATACACTGATGTTCAATAAATACTTTAACTATGAACAATAAATAATCACAATGAATAATTCTTCTGCCAGGCAGTGTAGTTTGTTAATAGCAGGCTATGGTTGCCAAGCAACCGCACAGTTAAAGATTAACAACACAGTGGTTTTTATTAGCTTGTCCCCTTAAATTGAATAGAAATAGATTCATGAGTGCAGTCATGCTTCTATATTGAGTGTTTTATAACAGCTAACACAGATAAAAAAAAACACATGTTCTGAATGTCAATTCTAAATAGCTATAATATGTTGGTGGTTATAATTTTGGGGGCTTCTGTCTTTAAAAAAACTTCCCTGATGACTGTTCATTTATTTCTGACAGCCACCAATTTGTCAAAACTTGTGTCATTAAATGTTTAAGATGTTCATCAAAGTCATTCAGAGTGGTCTGTTGTGAAATGATGGATTCAGAGTCAGAGCTGTTCACAGTGGTGGTGATGGGAACTAGACATCTGAAGAGTTTAATGCCTCTTAAAGCTTCCCTCACAGGAAATTGTGATGATTATGCTGTCTGAAGCCTAAGACATAGTTTTACAGTACTTTTCATATAAGATTTTGGCCTAAAACTTTTTTAAATCCCATTCTGGTAGAGAGGTACATGCAGGGTGTTGTCAGGCGTTCCCAAAAACGTTCCCAAAGAAACCTTATTTTTTTCAGATTTATCACTGTTTTACTTCATTATCAACATTGCACAACAACTCAAAAGACACATTAAAATGGTTCAGAATCAATGGATTCCCTGGATTTTAAAAATGGCTAGATATGCATTGTAGACACTATGATGATTATCATCAGTATGTTATTATAATTAGGACAGTTATGATGTTTACCATCACCACCACTATAAAGAAATATTGGTATGTTTCTCTACAATGAAATATTTCATAGCAAACCTCTCTGAATTATTTTGTTAACATCTCCATGACTAAATTATACAGATATTTTGGAAAATCATTGGAATTACTCTTTAACTGACTTAATGTATTTGGTTTCCTCTATATTTTCATTTTTTTACAGGCAGGGTCACAAACCCTGTTATAAAGGTAGCGTTGGGGGTATCTTTTTCCTGGCTTACTTTTTCCAGGATGTAATCAGTAAAGCAAGCCCATTATGGTTTGAGTGTGATTAGTTGTTTGTAATTGATTACTTTTTTTGAGTAACTACCCTAACAAAGATGAAAGGACAGCACTGCAAGCTTTACTATAAGCTCTGAAGGTGCTTAGACCAAAAACACATTACACATAACAGATGTACGACCAAATAAAGCCTGGGATCACAATGTGACAGCATAGTAGAAGCCTGTGAAACCAGAGCTGGTCATGTGATGGTATTTCAAAGTGTACATGATAACAATATTGCATGTGCTCAATATTGTGGTATGCCATATAACTGAATATTGCGCACTGTAAAAAATTAAAAGTAAGCTCAAACTTATAGTTATAAGGCAATGTATTAGACTGCTTTTTCTTGAGGACACCAGAGTGCAGTCAACTCAAATGTCCTAGTTTAGACAAAACTCATATTTTCAGTTCCCGCATGCCAGTTAGGTAAACAATACACAATATACATTTTACTACCCACTAGCTGGGACTCTTTCCATCACACAATCCCATCAAGCATTTCTCTCCTTGGACTCACAGTTAAGGATGGCTGTGGCATTGCTGGGGTTCAAACTCACAACTTCCTGATGTGATGAACGTTAAGACAGTTGCACCAATCGTGAGCCATTAAGTTATTTCTGTGTTTTAAAATGAAAGTGAAAATGTTTTTCAGCTTTTCCAGTACACTGTTGATGGTCCAGAACGTTACATGACTTTCAGAAGTGAAGGCTCAAGGTAGCTGAGAAAAGCACCTTATTCTGTTCTGTGTTGGGACAACCCCTGGGCTCACAACGGGCTGGTTCAAGATAAAGTGCATCTCCTTGGCGGTCAGTCAGAGTGGCCAGTTGGAGCTGGGGGAGGACCTGAGAAGAGAGCTGTCAAGCTAGACAGTTTTACCAGCAGCGCCACACTTGAGCCAGCAGCTCTTGTGGTGTTCACATATCAGATTTTAAATTTCTTAAAAGAATATGAATTGGAACATCACATATGAAAATGATAATCACACAACACACATTTTCTAAACTGCTTGTCCTTCTGGGTTGTGGGGGGAGCTGCAGCCTATCCCAGCAGTCATAGGCCAGAAGGCAGAATACACCCTGGACAGGTCGCCTGTACATCGCAGGGTGGACGCAGGGGGAACTGGAGCCTATCCCAGCGGTTATTGGGCAGAAGGCAGGAAACACCCTGGACAGGCCTCCAGTCGATCACGGGGCAGACAGACAGACATATACATTCACACACACACACCTTGGGGCAATTTAGCATGTCCAATTGGCCTGCATGTCTGGACTTTGGGAGGAAACCCACACAGACACAGGGAGAACATGCAAACTCCACACAGAAAGGAACCTGGTTGCCCAGCCAGGGAACCAAACCCACACCCTGCTTGCTGTGAGGCGACAGTGCTACCCACCGCGCCACCGCGCCACCGTACCGCCCACCACAAACACTATATGTTAATAGGCTACGTGCTCTTTTCAACACAGTTTGTGTCCACATGGTTGTCAGCTGAACTTCTAGCTAATAAGAATAAGCTCTGTCATCGTCAAGTTATGCTGACAGGCTCTTAAATCCACAGCCGCCTTGCTCCTGTGAGATTATAATGTCGTATGACATCATGCCGTGCTAGTGGTACAAATTGAAGTCCGCCAAAAAATGAACCGGCATGCACCATACCAAGCCAGCTGACGATCGGTCTGTGCTGTGCCTCGTTAAATCAAACAAGCCTTATAGCACGTAGTCAGCCATGTGTCCAGCAATACATGACTTGAAATGAAACTAAAAGTAGCTTTAAAACAGCCATCAGGACTGACTGTGAGTAAGAAACGTAAACATTCAGCAACGCCTCTTCAAAGACAGCATGTTTTGACTGACAAGATAGTGAATAATTTAAGTCAGACCTGTAGGCTTGTGCCTGGTCAACATACACAGAAAGAAACAGCCCAAAAATCTCTGAAAGAAACACATCTTTAACACACACTTCAAAGCTCCCGCTGCACACTTTGATAAACTCCACAGTAGCTCAGTTTGCAGCGGTGCGGAGCTTTTAGGAAAAAAGAGAAATCTTGAACCTTTGCAGCCGGCAGTTAGCGTGAGGCAAGCACAGGCATGGCCTCCTCTGTACAGGCAGAATAGCTCAGGGCCAGCAATAAGAATCAGACTCTACTGGCAGGGTTGAAGTTCACTTCTCTCTCTCTCTCTTTCGCTCTCTCATTTTTCTTTTGAGTCATTTTAAAACCCTCCACAGGGGCGCTGGGTGCCCCGAGCTGATAGGGTGACTGCTGGAAAAAAGGAAAAATCTCTGGAGGAAGAAAATGTAATCGTAGGAGCACACGAAAGTTGGGGGGGGGGTACAGTGGGAGAAAAATGGACAGCAGAAATTCTTATTTTTCATTCAGAATTTTCTGGTTTATGCATGAGCTATCAAAGTGAATTTCAAAAATCCAGAAAAAACACTGATCGGTTTCCTTCTTGGAAGTATAATTTTTTTTTTCTATTGTGGAGACCACAAATTTCAAAACAGATGTTTCTCACTGATAATCACTGTTAGCTGCTCTATTTTTGTGTGTTAGCATATTTGTTTTATCAATAAATAAATATTTCCATTAGTGCTTTTCTCAAACCCAGGCTTTCAGGAATTCATTCATTCAAACAGACCCTCCAGAAATTCACTCAATTTCAACCAATGCTTGCAGTATTCCCCTGAGCCAGAGGCAGATCCTGGGGTGGGGCCACAGGGGCACTAGCCCCAGAAAAATCTGACTGGTCCCTTTAGGGCCCCCCTAAGTCACTTGCCACCTCAAAGCACACTGATCGATATACAAACTCTGCATCTTTCAGTGAAATTTGAGGTTTACACTGTTACAAATAACAGTTCTGTGCAGATACATTTTTCGTTCATCAAGGTACAAACAATGTAAATGTACCCTCAAAGGTACAACAGTGGTTTCAGGGTCCAATTATGCACCTTAAATACGTTTTTCCCAGGTAAAAAAGTACATATTTGTACCTTTTTATAACCGATTGTTTTAAAACAGAACAATAAAGTAAAAAGCCTGGAGATGAGACGGGGTGTGTGGAGGCAATACAACTTAGAAAATATCATTTCAATGGATTATGGTACAGTTATGTTCCCTGACTACTGAGATGTACCCTTGAGGGCCCCACCCCAGTGACAAGAGGGGCACTGCACCAGTGACAGTATATATCTTTCAGCAGATAGAACACAAATGAGAAGTACAGTTTTTAGAATCGCATGTATTTTGTTTAGGAGGAATCTCAAAAGGAGATGCTGGACAAATTTTGTACACACTGACCTTCTGACCTTGGTATGGTAAGCAATAGGCTATTTAAATTCAAAATACCCAGAAAGTTGTACATTACTTATATTGGCACAGTTATGGAACTCACCTTAACTGAATTATTCTACAGAAGGGTCACTCATTGCTGCCCCTGAAGATCTAGCACCCTGCAGACTTTAGCTCCAACCCTTATCTAACATAGGGGAGGGGCATCTGAATATTAGAGACAAGTGTGTTGGATCACTTCTCCAGGGTGCTAGATCTCCAGGACTAGGACTGGGCACCTTGTTCAACAGTAATTACATGTTTCTTTGTATTTTATTCTCAGAGTGTACCACATTTTTCTACTTAAAAAAACTTTCTCTGGAGGACCAAGCCTCTGACCCCTGTAAAAGGGGCTGGTTTCTGAACTTGACCCATCTTTCACTGTGTACAAATTTGAGTGTCTGTACGTGGCAGTTGTGAAATTATTAGCCTTATGATTAGATATTTTATCACGTCTGCTGCTGATTGTAAAACACCTTGAACAATAAAAGTGTATAATATATACAAATGTAGAGAGATACTGGAGATATTGTAAGATAATTATGGATCTCTTTGAATTTGAAGACATTAATTTGGCCCCTGAACAGGAACTGTGGCCTTGTCTAAAAAATTCCTGGCCAGAGCTTGCAATTTTGTCCAATCACAGCATTGTTTCCACACTCTACATATTAATCTGTGCAGTGCTTTCAAAACGAAGCATGTAGCTTCTATGCTATTATGAACACACACAGACAGAGAGCTTAATATCTAAGCTAAGCTGGCAACAACTAGTGTGCTTTTGTCAGATCCATTCTGATTGCCTGTCTGCAATATCATGTGAACGCTCTTCTGCATCTTCTGCAAGCAGTAGCCTGCTCTATGTGCCGGGACTGAGCCTTTCATAGCAATATAGATTCTGGATGTTTTTTCACTGTGTTGATTGATTCAAAGCATGTTAACTGCTGGGTACAGTGCCACTGTGCTGCTCTAAGTAGTTTACTTGAATACATTTCCTCAGATTCCTAAGTTTATTTAGAGAACATGTTCAGCTGTTGCAGCCAGTTTTCATTACATCATTTTGCTTTGCATGTTCTTGGTTCTCACAGGAACACTTCATTTCCTATTTGTTTTGAAAGAAACGAACTAGGCTACGTTTAAAGCAAGTTGAAAAAAATATCAGATTCATAATCTTAAGCAAATAAGCACATTTCTAAATTGCAAGCATCCCTTTACCCCAAAAAAGAACTTAAAAATACGCTTCAAGCTTTGAGAAACACCACTGCAAAATCGAGCATTTTAGCCAGCAGTGATCACAAAAAATGGATGTAAAACACATATTTGTACACCACCTACACCACCAATGAGCATGTTTCAGAAACCAATCATTGTCCTGGCTATTTAACTTCATGTTTGCCCATGTTTATTCATATTCTTTTCATATTTGTTTTCTGAACAGTTGGGGCTCTAATTTTATCATGGTTAGACAAATGTATTGTTATTTGTGGTTGCATAAAGGCTTTAATTTATTGTTATTCTACCAGGGAAGATAAAAGTATGAGTGAATGTACACACAACTGAACTGAAAAAATCCCAAGTATCATGTAGGGAGTGAAATCTGTGTGGTGCGAGTACAACATGTGCTCATTAGAGCTCCTATTTTGTCCTTTGAGATTACAGCAAGAAACATTATTATTAGAATTATTATTTTTGCTAGCACTGAGCTGGTTTTGTTTATTATTTCATTTATATTTCATTTATTTATGATGAACAAATAAACTTACAAGTGGCTGTGCATGCGACTGAACTGAGAAAATGTAAATGTCCCAAATATGGTATGGGGACTAAAATATGTGCAATACAGAAATAGCATGTACTCATTACAGTTCAGCCTGAGTGCTAGGCAATTTCTTTCTCTGGAAAAGAGCACAAACAGTTGGGAGCTTAGAGAACAGCGATGTTAGTGCGCAAAACTAAAGCGACAGAACAGTTAGAGGGTAGACAGCTAAATGAGAGAGTTTGTGAGAAATGACTCACTTCCACAGGTCCCATCAGGCAGAAGCATGTATCCATTGAGGCAGTAACACTTGTAGCTGCCGTACGTGTTCATGCACCTGTGTTTGCACGGCCGAGGCTTCAGGCCACACTCGTTCAGATCTGCGAAAAAGAGAGAGGGAAAAGGTTAAAGCATCCAGACAGAAGACCTGGGGGGCGGTAGAGGGGATTAGCCAGAGGTCAGAGTTTAAGGGTCAATCCCCTTAAAGCTGTGAGGCTGCAGAGCTGTGTCTCGACAAGCCCACCCCAGAGAATCCACAGAGAGGATGCCGTTACACCAACCTGCTTATTACCGTCCAATAGAGGAACTCTTTTCCCACAACACTCTTAACCACTGACTTCAAGGTGATGCGCTGGCATCTTTAACCACTGAAACATACACTTAAAGATAATTTTTCCCCCTGAAGACTCAATGACAGTCAATGTCAACAATTCATCTACTTCTAACCTTTATTAGAAACAGTGATATGTCAAGTTGAGATGAGAAGGACTGCCAGATCTAAGTTTAGCACCTGCCAAAAGCTAAGAAAGCGCATGGAAAAGTCAACAGCCTCCGGAAATGAATCTCAGGATGCCAGGCTGGCGTGCACGACGAGAATGCCAAGAATTCCAGTTCACATGCATAAAAGTAAAAAGTGTTCTCCACCCTGGGGGTGAAGGGGAGGCAGTGTTCCAAACTCTAGTTTCGATATCAACTGGTTCTCGTCCATCTTTCAGCAGCACTAAACTGACATAGAAGGTGGCCAACCCTCTACTACTTTTTCTCCTCAATTTAGTCATGGCCAGTTCCACCTGATAGTTAGGTCACACAAAGATACCAAGCTGGGAGGGTGACGGCTGGCATAAAGGAGTCTTGCATATAAGGAATTATATGGAGTTATGGAATAACTGAAATTTGGGTGGGATGCCCCTCCTTCAAATTTAACACCCTTTAAATTCCCATCTATAACTTCATTTCTATGACAAAATTCTTGCAATCCCCACTACCAACCCATCTCTTCCCTGTGTGTCTTTTCTATCTGTCCTAGGGGGGTCTTGCTTTCCATCTCCCAGCTGAAGCCATCCAGAACTTCAGGCCAAGTTCTCAGAGTTCACCCCCCCTTCCTCAGTCACACAATCTCCCTTTATACAACCACCATACCTTGAAGGCACAGTCTGCGCTCGCAAAATAAATAAAAGAAATTACTCTTATATTTACTATTATTATTATTATTATTATTATTATTATGAAGAGCTAAATGAGAAAGAGACGACAGTCCCTAACTATGTATCACTTTCATTTCTAAACTGGACAGCACACAGTTCGTTTTCTGGGCCAGCCACTCTACACGATGCCCACAGTCTAATTTACCCAGCAGTGAAAGCAGATCCCCCCTGGCAGGAGTGCATGAGTGGCTTTGGTGTGGCCCAGTTCAGAGAGAATGGCGCCATCTTTAGATATGGGCTATGCATGGAATGCATTCTGCAGAATGGCATGCCTGCTATATCTGAGAGGTGACACAGATTTAAATAGATGGATGGCGCAGTCACATTCTACCACATAAATAATAATGAGGTCACATGACTGAGATTACTGTATGGTTATTATATTTTGAATCACTTCCTGTGCTAATCAAGAAATGTATTCACTCCAAAAATGAAGCTAGCAAGACCAAACCTTATCTTGAGGGCAGACACAGGGCAGTCTTTAAAGTCTGAAACCTGCAAATGCTCTCAAAATGCCAAACACCTCAAAAGTAGTGTACTGATGTTCGGCAAAAAAAAAAAAATTCTGAAGCACAGCAAGAGATTTTAATCGCACAACTCAATGTTTTTCTGACCTACATGACTCGAGATCTTTATGGGTCCAACTGTACATTTCTTCCTGCCAAAATTCCTTACATTTCACTCACTTGACTAGAAGCAAACTTCTGCAAAATATCAGAGAAGTCAGAAAAAGGACAGCAGACTACTCTGCACCATCCTCTCACACTGCATAAAATCACCCACTCCAGAAAAATTAACATCCTCATTTCACTCCTGCATTTTCCAATTAAACAGCAATTACCTGGTGATTGGAAGCGTAATTGCAAGACGCTCAAAGGACCGAACCTTTTGTAGAAATGTTCTTTTTCACTTGGATATCATCAAGGCCATTCATCGGCACATTTACATCACTCAGATGTCATTAGAATGTGATTATGGAATTTAATGGAAGGGAAAGAGGGGCACAACTGGCAAATGGAAAGACACTAAAGATTCATTAAAAGTTATACGTCAGTTCAGACAGTCTGTGACTATTGAGTTTGTTTATTAATAGTAAAGGGAGCATATGGACCGTCGTTCTTTGAAACCTGAGCAATGGAGCAGATCATACCTGACCTTGCCTGCTATCCAAGCTCACTAGTGCAGTATTTTCCATATGGCCACACAGCAGGAACCATGGGCTAGCAGAAGAAAATGTTATGCTAGTACAGAAACCAGCATAACTCACAGCAGGATTCATGTGCTAACATTACAAAATGTCATGCTAGCACAGAAACCAGCGTAACTGACAGCAGAAACTATGTACTAGCGTACCAGCGTCCAAATCACAACATAGTCTTGGTGGTGATCAGTATAACAGCTTCCAATGCTGGTTCTGCTGTTTTTTTCTCGCAAGGTTAGCATAACAAAATGTCACAGAAACCAGCAAAACTGACAGCAGAAACTATGTACTAGCATAACAAAATGTCATGCTAGCACAGAAATCCAGTATAAATAACAGCAGTACTTCCTGCACAAGCTGGTCTATGCTGGCTTGTTGCTGGTCTAGTGCTGGTTTTGCTAGTCAGAAAGCACATCAGCGTCCAAATCACAACATATGCTAGTTTAGGTAGTGATAAGCATAACAGCTTCCAATACTGTTATCCAAAACACAATAAGCTGATTTTGAGTTATAGTAGGAATTGTTTTTAGCGTGACAAAATGTCATGCTAGCACAGAAACCCATGTTACCGACAGCAGGAGTCTGTGGCTAGCATAACAAAATGCTCTTGGACAGGTAGCTCTGCACAACCTTCTCTTCCCCTGAGCTCTTCTAAATCCCAATTTAAGTTTCGCTCTTTTGTTTCATCTTTATTTCTGTGCCCTCTCCGACATCGCGGTAATAACCCCGGCCTGGGAGGGAACTCAACCCTCAGGTGAACTTTCAGCAAAAACTTCTCTCACCAAACTTGGCTAGCCACTCTGTATTAACACCGTATACTGTCCAGGGATTGAAGGGAAGCATTTTCCACCCCTAACTGGCTTTGCTTCCTTCCAGGAAAAAGCTGAAAACAGCAAAATTTAAATGTCAACAAACATGGATTACTGGAGCAAGGCGTCCAGTGTCAGGCGGCAAGCTCCAAGCTACAGCACATGCGGGTGGAAAAAAGAGAAAGAAGGAATATGGTGCACAATGATCTGCTGTGGAGAAGAGAAAACAGAAGGGAAGGAGGAGAAGGAAAAAAATATGGAGAGAAAGGTAGATTACACCAGTGTACAAAGCACCGAGCCGTTCTCTGGAGCTTTCACTGCAAATGAACTGTGAGAAACACACTAAATGATGCATGGGAAGAGGGAGGGGGGGAGAGAGGGAGAGAATGACAGAGAGAGAGAGAGAGACAGAGAGAGAGAGAGAGAGAGAGACAGAGAGAGAGAGAGAGGGGGGGTTTTTGAGATATTTCTCTCAGATATTTCTCTCACACAGAAAATACATTCCTGAAAAATATGAGATATAAAACAAAATTAAAAAATAAACTGAAACCATAGAGACAAATCTAATGGATCAGGTTGTGTGTCAGATGTGTCATGTGACCATGACTGCAGTGAGACATAATCCACAGCTAAGAATACGTCTCAGACACTTAACAACACAACAGACTGAATTCCACAGCTGAAGAGAACAACAATAAGAGCAGTGCTTGTAGAGGAGGGTGAGATGGAGTGAGGTGAGGGACAGGGAGAGAGAGAGAGAGGACAGATGAAAGAGAAAGAGAGGAAAAGAGCAGGATTTCAGGCTCTCGGGCTCTTGCAGATGAAAGATGGTCTGGTTCACAAGTTCAGAGAGCTGAGAATCGAGAAAGACTGACAGTGTCTGTATGAGAGAGAGAGGGAGGGAGAGAAAGAGAAAGAGAGAAGGAAGATTGGGGGGGGGTGGGGGTGGTGGAGAGAGAGAAACTTCCACTAAAGAAAGTAATGTATCATAAAAAATGCTCCCTCAAACCTTTCTTCTTTTGTTGATGATTAATAATTCTGTAAATAACCTTTCTGTTTCACTTGTTCTCCCATTTTTCATTTTATGTTAATTGCTTTGGCAATATTTAACTTAACATTCACTAAAGTGAACTGAACCGAATGGGAAAGAGAGAGAGGGAGAGAGAGATATAAAGAGAGACAGAGAGAGAGAGAGAGAGAGAGAGAGAGAGAGAAAGAGAAAGAGCACAAAGAGCATGGCTTCTCTAAAGAGTCTGGAGAGATCATGCTTGGCTTTCAGTTGGCTTGTCATTCCAGCCATGCCCAACCAGGCTGTGGAACGTTCCACACTGAGAGTGCGTGGGGGGGGGTGTTCACTCTCTCAGCTGAACGGACTGTGCCATGCAGGTGCTGCAAGGTTGGCAGAGGGACAAAGAGAAGTGGGGTCGTCCAGTGACCGGTCGAATAGCTATAGCTCACCCTCCGGAGGCACCCCCACAGGCTGCTGGTCCATGGTGGGAATAAAGACAGGGGGGTAACTGTCCCACAGAGGCATTGGGGGGTTTATATAGTCCTGTTCTTCTTCTTAAAGATTAGAGGGAGAAAATGAGAACATGGGAGAGGGAGAGAGAGAGAGATACATACAATGCAGCACACATACTCTTAAAAACAAAGGTGCCAAAAAGGGTTCTTTGGAGTGATGCCACAGAAGAACCATTTTTGCTTCTCTGAAGAACTTTTTATTGTAACATTTTAAGTTTCAGAGAATCTATCCATGATATGAAGGTTCTATACTCTGCTCTCATGTACACACAATCCAGGTGCATTTAAAGGTTCCTCCTAGAACCGTACGTTCAAGCCAAGAACCATTTAAGAACCTTCGTTTTCAAGAGTGCAGGATAAAGTAAATGAACACATCCAACAGATTACACACTTTTAACCAGTCTACATTCCTGGGGAGGGAAAGAGTGACATTATGCCGTAAAGAGGATTACGCTTGTGTGAGTTGGTTGCGAAAAAAAGCACGTCTGAGTCACATTCCTGTAGAGATTGAATGGTGTCTGGGTGAGATCAGGCGCGTCTCTCAGCCTCCATCTGCTTCTCCAGAACAAAAGCAGCACGGCTTTGGTGTCACGCCGTGGCAGGAGTCACGCCCGAAAACGCCCCGATCACTCGGCTCCGTGCCAGTAAACAGCCTTTATTGTTAGCGACTAAAGGGGGATATCGGACATTAGAATGTTTGGAAAGGTTTGAAGTGTTTGAAGGGTTTCCGTGTTTGGAGTCTTTGCAGCATGAAGCTCTTAAAACCCAGCTGTGCCACTTATATCACGGTCAGCACTCCTAAACCCTCAGCTGTGTCACAGAAAGACAGATGTCCTTGATGTCCTCTATTACTGTGTGATTTGGCAACATCACATTTAATCACAGGACACAGCACAGAGAACTATACGTTCAGCCTTAAGAAAATCTTTGGCTGTGATCTCCAACACCTACAAGTCCAATTTTCAGTGCTAAAGCTTGAAGACACTTGGGAACCCTGTGAATCCTGCTAACTCACCTTCCATCCGGGAAAAGACTGAAGCATCACGGTTTCTAGTCTTGCGGGGCTAGACGTGATCTTATAACGAGACCGTCTGGGGACAACCATGAACACTTTAGGGTTAAATGTGGCTAGGAATGTAGACATATCAAGGTAGAAGAAATTTCTAAACTAATTCAACGACCGATGGATGTTACTTCAGTTAGCATGGATGAAAACTATAAGGCCACATTCACAAGTACATTTCAGTGTCTTTCAAAAAACGCAGCTCCTGGGCGAGTGGCACAACCATTCAAGCATTGGCCTAATCATCTTGCGATCGTAAGGTCAAGATTGTGTGGTGGTTTGGAGTCCAAACAAGCATAATTAGCATGGCCCTCCGTTCTTCCTCTTAGCATGATACTAGCCAATGCAGGCCTCTGTTGGCTGATCTAAATGAATTTAGCGCAATAAGTTCTCAACCAAATTTGTTGAATTGTTCAATGATGATACGTAAGCGGCAATTTGAAAAGATGTTGTGGAGCTTCAATTTGCTCAGAGGGCGCATGTGCTAGCATTCACCCTCCCAGCTTGGTAGCACTGTGGGATAGGGGAACAAATAGCTAACTAGCTGGAATTTGCAATGGCTAACTTTTGATGGGATATACGCTGATGTAACCAAGTGTCAGCCAACAGGAGATGGTCTTCAGCCAGTCAACGTTAATGTTGACCAAGATGGAGGAGCAATGAATCGCTGTACAGTCGAACTCTAAAGATACAGACAGTCTATAAAGTTAATGCAAAACACATCCATTTTACCTTTAGGAAACACATAATGAGGTTCTGATACCCAGTTTTGTTTATGAGAATTCATCTTTGAACGTATTCAGTATTCCCAGCCACATAAGAAAACATCTCCACTCACCAACAAGCCCACAACAAGTCAGCAATGCTATCATTGCTATCATGTTCATGACACTAAAAGGGTTTACAGTAAGTACTATTAAGAAACTGTGAAATTTGGTCTTTTCCCAGAGAAAATGTGTGTTACAATCCCATTTCCAAAAAATGGAAATCATATAGAAACTATATATAAATATGTTCCAGAAACACTGTCGCCTTCTCTGGGCCTGAGCTCATTTAAGATGGTCTCGGGCAAAGTGGAAAAGTGTTCTGTGGTACAACAAATCAAATTTTATCATTCTTTTTGGAGTCCTCCAGGTTAAAAGCAAACATCTGTGATGGTATTGGGGTGCAGTAGTGCACAGGGCATGTGTGACCTGCACACCTCTGAAGGCAATAAAATGCTGAATGATATGCTCGGGTTTGGAGCAACATATGCTACCATCCAGATGACGTCTTTTTCAGGGAAGGCCAATCCACATTCTGCATATTCACAACAGCATGGCTCTGCAGTAAAAGAGCCTGAGCACTAAACTGGCCTGCCTGCACTCCTAACCTGTCACCCATTGAAAACATTTGGGGCATTATGAAATAAAAATATGACAATGGAGACCCTGAACTTTCAAAGGTACAGCAATTGATCTCCTCAGTTCCCAAATGCTTACAAAGTGTGGTTAAAAGAAGAGGTGATGTAGCATGGTGGTCAACATGGCCCCATCCCATCTTTTTGAATCATGCTGCTGGCACCAAATTGAAAATGGGAATATAAATTGAGTGAAAATTGAAAATGAAAATTGTGCTATTTTTAATAAGATATAGGGTTTAAATGACTTACACATCATTACATTCTCTTTTTATTTACATTTTACCCAGCATCCCAACCTTTTCAGAAACAATGTTGTACAAGAAGTTGAGCAGGACACATAAAGTGTTTTTAAACCTTTGTAGTGAACGTTAGACTCATAGATAAGGAAGATCATGGCCAATGATTTTTGAGACTGAAGATGCAGCCATTTCAACTTTGCAAATGTTCAAGTACACAGCAATAGAAGACATCAAGGACAAATCTAATAACGTGACCTAAGACTAATGAATAGTTAATTGTCCATTCATCAGTAAGTGAGGAAGACTGTCAAAGCAAATGGTCTACAGAATTTACAAAGTTCTCGTTATTTCATACTTTATGTTGTTAATTTCTTAAGCTTTTATGTTGTTAAGAATATTGTTCCTTTTAATTCTTTGTGTCTTTAAATTTGTATGGGTTTTATGTGCTTTTTTAGATTAAAGGAATCTTATTTGATGTTTAGCGTTTGTGTTCAGTCTTCTGTTACGGACACACTTAGGAAAAGTTCCTAACAACTACGTTGGTATGGCAATAAATATTGATGGAAAATGTTTGGAAGGGCTTGAAGGGTTTCTGTGTTTTGATCCTTTGTAGGGCGAGGCTCTGTTAAGTCAGCTGTGCAGCTCATATCCCGGTCAGCACGGCTAAACATTCAGCCCAGTGAGTGAGGGATGTCCTTGATGGGGAAGGAGGAGAGGCTGGGGCAGACGCATTGCAGGGTAATTGAACAATGCGTCGGCGTTATGGCTAATTATATGATGACACGTGAAGTATGTACCATAATCCGCTCAGCTCCATTTCGCTTTCAACTTATAAATATCACAGGCAAGTGGGGGGCCGAATGCCATGCCTGGTTTCAGCAAAACATGAACTGTTGTCCCACATGTGGGGCAAATGTGAAAATTAAACAGTCTGATAATCTAGTCAGGCAATTGTTGATTAAAAAATTGGAGGCCCATTCATCACCTATGGCTGGAGTGATTTCCATATTTAAGCTGTTGTTCTTGGAGTAGGAGAACTCAAAGACAGGAACAGAGTACTCCACATTAGCTGTTGATAGGGATGGGTATTGTTAGGATTTTACCGATACTGATATTGTTACCGATACTGCTTATCGATAACAATGCTTATCAATACACTTATTGATACTACTTTCCATAATTTGGTGCAAAAAACAGAGACATAGCATTAAAACGTGAAAAGATTCAAAAAGATTTAAAATGAAAAGATGTAAAAAAGGCTGTGGTCATCTCCCCACAGTTGAACAAACTAACAACCGAATGCAATACAAAATTAGCTACCCCAGGTTTTCAGAAAAGCTCACACTAACTTCAAACTTAGGGTACCTAACAGCTAGTGATTTATGTTATGCTAGCTACTCTATTTTAATTCAGTAAAGTTCAATATTCTTACTCCCCCCGACCCCCCACCCCCACAATCAGCTCATTTAGTCCATCAAAATATCCTAATTATTATTTTTTTAAGCTTGAAACATTTTCTAAGAAGAACATTTGGACTATCAAACTATTTTACCTGTAGTTTTAACACAAGGCTGAAGTCAGCTTCCTATCTACCAGCTTCTTGTTTCGATTTTTCCTGTTCCATCTTAAATGGTGCAGCAGTTATTACGTCTGTGATGGCAGCATGTAACTGCTGCACCATTTCAGGTGGAAAAGGAACATCTGAACAGGAAGCTGGCAGAAAGGAAGCTGACTTCAGCTTCAAAATTTTATTGCTGGTAGTATTTTTTGATAAGATGATTTAAGTTGTCAAATTATCCTAGGACATTTTGTCAAGGTAGAACAATCGCCACAACACCAGGAGGCTGCACTGCAGTCGAATGTGCAGCTCTGCTAAAGCAAACATCCTGACTCCTTCAGATTGTTGTAGGCCTATTTGTCAGAGACATGAAAACCCTTTCACTACATGGAGCAGAGCACCCCTCCCGCTGATCCAAACTAGCACCAACCATTTGAAAACGCGCGTGTAGTATGAATAAACGTTAAATACATACCAATAACAGAACCGTTTGTCCAGGAACTTATTACAGTACTGACCAGTCAGGAACCGACATTAATTTAGTACTGCTTTTTAATACTCATCCCGCTGTTAATATGCAAAGAGCCAAGTATGGCAAAAAGAAGGCTTCTTTCAGTTGAGAATCCACTCCACAGAACCCAAAACCTGTCTTGTCGTTCAAAAAATATCATGAGTTGCTCTCAGGCAAGGCTTATAATGCATTCTTGACGCAGAGCAGGCACAGCAGGTGCGCAAATTCTCATTTACGAAGTCCCCCACAGAAAATAATCATCTTATTAA